TGTGCCCCACGACCCCGCTAAGACGACACTATGTCCCACGACCCCGCTACTGTGCCCCACGACCCCGCTAAGACGACACTGTGCCCCACGACCCCGCTAAGACGACTCCCCACGACCCCGCTAAGACGACACTGTGCCCCACGACCCCGCTAAGACGACACTAGCCCCACGACCCCACTAAGACGACACTGCCCCACGACCCGCTAAGACGACACTGTGACCCCGCTAAGACGACACTGTGTCCCACGACCTGCTAAGACGACAACGACTAAGACGACACTGTGCCCCACGACCCCGCTAAGACGACAACGAAGACGACACTGTGTCCCTGTAAGACGACACTGTGCCCCACGACCCGCTGACCCCGCGACAAGACGACACTGTGCCCACGACCTTATTAGAGACGACACTGTGCCCCACGACCCGCTAAGACGACACTATGCCCCACGACCAGCTAATACGACTCGGTGCCACGCCTCCTCCTCTCCCACGGCCATCACGTGTGTAACAGGCTGTCTCATCCTCCTCCTCATCCTCTGTGATATACGACACATCACCCACACATTCATATCAAACAGTGCCCCCAGATTATATCAGTGTGTGTGTGTGTGTGTGTGTGTATGTATGTGTGTGTGTGTGTGTGTGTGTGTGTGTGTGTGTGTATGCATGTGTGTATGTATGCGTGTGTGTGTGTATGCATGTGTGTGTGTGTGTCCGTGTGTGTGTGTGTGTGCATGTGTGTATGTATGTGTATGTGTGTGTGTATGCATGTGTGTGTATGTGTGTGTGTGTATGTGTGTGTGTGTGTGTGTGTGTGTGTGTGTGTGTGTGTGTGTGTGTGTGTGTGTGTGTGTCCGTGTGTGTGTGCGTGTGCGTGTGTGTCCGTGTGTGTGTGTGTGGTTAGGTCCTATGAGATCAGGATAGATTTGGTTAGGGTTAGGTTAGGTTACGTTAGGTCCTATGAGATCCGGATAGATTCGGTTAGGGTTAGGTTAAGGTTATATTAGTTAATTAGGTCAAGTTATATTCGGTTTGTCTCTTGTTGAGGAAGAATCAGCATAAGTCTTAGTCTATTTAAAGACTCATCATCACACACTTCAAGAAATCATGCCTTGCCTCACAACCCACACGATAGTCTACAAAAAAAAATCCTCGAGGCTACAGACTACCCCTCACACCCATACGATAGTCTACTACTTAATAATAGTCCTTGAGGCTACAGACTACCCCTCACACCCACACGATAGTCTACTACTTAATAATAGCCCTCGAGGCTACACGGACTACCCCTCACACCCACGATCAAGTTTCATTAACAATCCCTACGTTAATTTCGTTCAGCAGTTCAGTAATTTGTGTTAAGTGAACTTGTCTAATTAAGATAAAAGCTCGGAGTTAATTTTAATGTTATTTTGGTTACATAATTTTTTGCCTGTGTTAAATAGGGTCTTGTGTCTTCACTTACAAGACAAACACACAGTCAGGGTGTAGTTCTGGCGCCATTTTAAGTACAGCTTAAAATGCCAGCTTAAAGTCCACCCCGTTATATTAGTTTAAAATGCCAGCTTAAGTCCACCTCATTATATTACAGCTTAAAATGGCATCTTAAAGCCCACGTTATATTACACCTTAAAATGGCAGCTTAAAGTCCACCGTTATATTACAGCTTAAAGTCCATCCTGTTATACTTCAGCTTAAAATAGCAGCTTAAGTCCACCCCGTTATATGGATTCTTACTTCTGCAGCCACGAGGAAAATTTACCGTGAGAACCTCTAGTGATTCTCCCCTCCAGCACCACCTTTCTCCTAGCACCTCTCAGCAGCGCCTCCCTCCTACCAGCGCCTCCCTCCCAGCACCTCTTTCTCAGCAGCGCCTCCCCCCTAGCAGCACCACCTTTCTCCTAGCACCTCTCAGCAGCGCCTCCCTCCCAGCACCACCTTTCTCCTAGCACCTCTCAGCAGCACCTTCCTCCTAGCAGCGCCTCCATCCCAGCACTTCTTTCTCAGCAGCGCCTCCCTCCTAGCAGCGCCTCCCTCCCAGCACCACCTTTCTCCTAGCACCTCTCAGCAGCGCCTCCCTCCTAGTCACCACCTTGGCCTGTACTGTACATTATGGGAGAGGTGTTAAGAGGTTATAATCCTGCCAGAGTCGTCGAGGAGGAAGAGGGAATAGGAAAAGAAGGAGGAGGAGGAGGAGGAGGAGGAGGAGGCTGGAGAAGAAGAGGAGGAGGAGAAAGTGGAAGAAAATGAGAAGAAAGGGGATGACAAGAACACCAATCGAATATAAACACAAGACAAAATGCCGTGTACAAGTAAAATCCGCCCCCCTACCCCCCAGGTTCCCGTGAAAGCAACGGGGGAAAGGGAGTTCACGTCACGCCATAGCTAAGACCAATAATTATATAACTGTCTATATCTATAAATATCTATCAACCACAAGTGCAAAGTGATGATTGATATTGGTGAATAGTTACTCCATCTGAGGTCATGTTGTGATAGATCTTAATTACTACATTGTGTTTGGTCAAAGGTTAAAAAGAGCGATTTGTTCCAAGTTGACCATTTTCGTAAGGAAAGTTTGGAGAGACAGTGTGGTTTCGGGAAGGGGGGAGGAGGGGCAGTGTGGAGGGGAAGGGCAGTGTGGTGGGGAAGGGCAGTGTGGTGGAGAAGGGCAGTGTGGTGGGGAAGGGCAGTGTGGTGGAGAAGGAGCAGTGTGGGTGGGGGGAGAAGGAGCAGTGTGGGTGGAGGGTGAGGGGGAGAAGCAGCACACAAGCCGTCATGGTTTATAATGTTGTCAACACTGGCATAACTCAGCCTCTTACAGGAGCAGAGTGAGAGTGTTCGGTGGTGGTGGTGACTATACAGTGAGGTAAGTGGCCATTAATGAATTGGCAACTCAACTACAACGAGGACTGCCACAAGATTCTCAGATCAAATTTTCTTCATTATTTAAACAAATATAAGAACATTTAGAAACTTCTCATGACTTTAAATAACTTGAAAATTGTATTATTATAATAATTCTACCTTTGGAGTGTTTAATATTTATCCTGACAGTGATACAGCCGAAAACAGATCCACCAATCACAATTCCCATTACATACAGCCTTACTTAAACAAGTATTGCCAGGTAAAATTGCCAGTTCGAGACCCAAGCCGGGGAATCTTTGGCTGACTGTACATACTGTACGTATGTATATATCTCAGTCCATATAGCACGCGGACTTCCATATTCAAACAATATTTCACTAGTCGGGAATCGAACCCTGAACCTCTAAATGTGAACAGGGTTCGATTCCCGACTAGTAAGGTATTATTTTTATTTTATTTTATTTTTTTTTTTATTGGGCACCCCCTACATCCTTGTGTAAGGTGAAGCGCAGAAGCGTTTACAGCGCCCAACAGGGAAGCATGCTAAGTTCATGCTTGCCTTTATGTCTCATGAGTTAAGGGCGTAGAAGCCTGAAGAGTCAAGGGCGTAGAAGCCTGAAGAGTCAAGGGCGTAGAAGCCTGAAGAGTCAGTGGTTTATGTCATCAAGATATTGGAAGCTCCAACAACTTTCCCCTGAATACGAATTCGCAACCTTCGACCTCCAACAGGTACCTACTTTACTGCTAGGTGAACAGGGACTAATGGGGGCTAGGAAGTAAGTCCAAACAACTTCCACCGACCCGGGAATCGAACCCGTGACATATGTATGTACTATATGCATGTGGGTGACCTATGGTGTAAAGGTCAACATGCTCGCCTCGCAGGGTGATATGGGCAAGTTTCTTTACCCCATTTGCCTCTGTCTACCCAGCAATAATTGGGGACCTGAGTGTTATTCGATTTGCGGATCGTGTTCCTGGGTAATGGTTGGCCAGTGCTGTTGGCGAGTTGTTCGGTCTTCTCGAACTATTCCTTGACACAGGGTCATGCAGCTCGTTAACTTAGGGTGTGGTTGTTGTGTTGGCGACAGTTTCTACAGAATTTATACCTTAAACAAATTCACGCCTAGGTGGCCCTAGGGCCGGCCATCCTCGATTTCGAGGGGCATCCATTAATGTATGTATGTTTGTATGTATGGCAACCCCTATAACCCGTACACCCCCCACACACACACACGGATCTGGACCACCACCACACAGTACTGCACTGCCTCACTGTCACAACATCACAACATACACACATTAATCACCAGACACATGAACCCCTCTTCGCTTGTTGTATGTTGTATGTAAAATAGACGTGGGTCGCCTTTCTTGTCCCCGCACCGCCCCCGTCCTGATGGTGGAGGAGGAGCCAGCCCAAACTTTACAACTTTACTGGGTATTATATTAGTTTCAGTCATCTAGGTAATATTTTAAGAATTTAGGTTAGGTTAGATCGAGTTTCTGGGTTCTGTGGTTAGGTTAGGTTAGCGTTAAGTTAGGGTAGGTTAGGCTAGCGTTAGGGTGGTTAATCTTCAGGTAATCCGTGGATAAGGAGGTGAGAGGAGACAGCTGCCCCACAAACTCTGCCAGCCTTCAACAGTCACAACAAGTAACACCCAACCTTCAACACAACGGGTCACAACCATGTTAGTGACTCACGTAGCCTTCACCAACACAACGAGTCACACCCATGTTACTTCATGTAGCTAAGTAACAAGTAACTTCTGATATAGCAATAATAAACATATATACTAACTAATCTTTACATCAACTCACAGCTTAGGAGTCTTCAGCCGCTGCCAGTGATGTTGTAGGTGTCATTCAGTACTAACCTGAGTACCAAGGAAGGTAGAGTACTTTACCTCCCTTGCAGAGTACCTCAGGTCACCTTGATAACTCCACCACACCCATACCTGTACTGGTCCATGTGTGTATGTGTCGGGGGATGTCGTTGAGGTTGTTGTAAGTACCGAACGATCCCAACTGTTTTACGAATGCTTGTTTATAGATGGTGTTTATTTTACTGTGTATATATGAATGTATGTACTCGTATGTATGACTGAATGCATGTATGGTTGTTTCAGGTCAGTTGGAGAGATTTAACAACCTGTACATCGACAAGCTGGAGCGAGAACTGTCCACCACCTCAGCCAAGTTAGCTTCCCTGGAGGCGACCGTCAGGAGCATCGCCGACCGCGCCGCCGCCTGGGACAACATCCAAAACCATATGACTGTGTGGACCGACCAGTCAAGGACCATGGAGCGTAAACTGGATATACTTAACAGGTGCGTCACTTTTACTTACACACACAGTTTATATTGGTTAGTGTACGTTAGGTTGAGCTGGGTTGGGTTGAGTTGAGTTGGGTTAGTTTAGTACAGTATAGTTTAGGTTCAGGGGTTCAGTATGTTTTGATAACCTTCTTCAACATATGTGGTAGTCTAGTGTGTTGTGTCATGTGTGTGTCACGTGTTTCGGCAGGTGTCACGAGAAGCAGGACTCGTGGGAGATCCGCCTCAACGCCGTCGACGCCCTCAACCACAAGCTGACGGCCCTCGATAAGAAGATCAACGCCATGACGCGCCTCGAATTTAAGGTGGAGCAGGTGTCGGAGCGTGTCGAGGAGGTGAGTAGTGCAGGTGTCGAGGAGGTGAGTAGTGTAGGTGTCGAGGAGGTGAGTAGTGTAGGTGTCGAGGAGGTGAGTAGTGCACGTGACCCACAACACCTCCCTCACTACCCTCCAACAATGACACCCCCTCCACCCATCCTTACCCCCAACAATGACACCCCCTCCACCCCTTCCTACCCTCCAACGATGACCCTCTCTCCACCTCCCTCATTACCCTCCCAACAGTAAACTGGGTTTCTCCTGCAGGTGGACTCAACGGTGAACTGGGTAAAGAAGCAGATGGACACCCCGGAACACCCCATCATCACGGAGTTCGCTGGTCGTGGCCTCCTCAGCTCCCTGGTCACCATCGAGAACAAGCTGGAGAACATCACCCAGTCTCTAGCTGACGGTGGTGGCAGTGGTGGTGGTAGTAGTAGTGGTAGTGGTGGTCGTGTGTCTACCAGCGGCGATTACAATACTTATAAGAGGCCCAGGGTAAGTGTCCTCTCTCTCTCTCTCTCTCTCTCTCACTAAATACACAAACAAATAAGTTTGTCAAAATTCTGATAACTCGTTGAAACAAAAGAACTCCATAAACACAATTTTTTTTCTTTCTAAAATTTTCCCGCCAAAACACCAACTTCCAACCATCGTGTAGCTCTGACAGAAGCAAGACGATATATCAACAACACCGAGACTCTGGCACCAACAAGAGAGTACAGGATTTTGTTTATCGTCTCTGATAAATACGTTATACAGCCTCATGTTAAACCGAGAATCACACACACTCACAAGACAATGTTAAATTCACACCATCCGTACGATCCTAAGGAATTGAAGACGTGTTTAGTTTTATTGCCATTATTTTACAACTTTATTTACAACCATTATGATTCATATTCGGTGTAAAATTTCTTGGGAGTTAAAAAGGTGTATTAATGGTGTAACTGGTGTTGTACAGGGGCGGGTCCTGGGGGAGGGGGTCCTGGGATTCCGGATCTCCCCTTTTCATCAGATAATTCCAATATTTATCTTTAATGCAGTGTTGCACTCACGCATTTTTGCATAATAAACAGTAATTACTATTGACCTCAGAATATCTCCTAATATCAAGTGCACATGACCTCAAAATGCCCCTGATATTGGCCAGATTTAAAAAAAAAATTCTGGGGAAGGCTTACAGCGCCCTCGCTGTGCTCGCCAGGTTCCCCCCGCCTCCCCCCACCCCCCCATTTGATATTCCTGGATCCGCCCGTGGGTTGTGAGTTAACAGTGATGGGGTAAGAGTTAACAATGGTTGATGGTTAACAAGAGGTGTTCCTCCCCAGCAGGTGCATGGCTCCAGGTACAGGCAGGTGAGGCCCACGGTGGAGCCTGAACCTGGTATTACCTTTACTACAGGGTATGATGGTTAGTATCTCTCCCACTTTCTCTCTCAATCTTACTTTCTTTATGATGGTTAGTATCTCTCTCTTTGCCTCACTTTCTCTCTCACTATCTTACTTTCTTTATGATGGTTAGTATCTCTCCCACTTTCTCTCTATCTTACTTTCTTTATGATGGTTAGTATCTCTCTCTTTGCCTCACTTTCTCTCTCACTATCTTACTTTCTTTATGATGATTAGTATCTCTCTCTCTTTGCCTCACTTTCTCTGTCACTATCTTACTTTCTTTATAATGATTAGTATCTCTCTCTCTCACTTTATAATAGTGTCTCTCTCTATCTCACTTTCATTCATTTACAGTCTTTACATTGAATATATTAATCTATGTTTATTTACTAATATACCGAGAACTTATTTATATGTTAGATGGTAAACATATTTTGGTCGGTTGGGAAACAAAACATATCTTGTTATTGTTGGTATAATGACGTCATTCCCTCTGTTAGGATAGTTTATAATGGGCTGGAGGTCAGATAGGCCCCAGTCCAATTAGGACCTAACCTAACCTGACTTACCCTAACCTAACCTACCTTAACTTGACCTAATTTAACCTATCCTATCCTAACTTGACCTAACAAAAATCTAACTACCTTCCCATTTCAATCACCATCCCTGTCTCCAAATCAGACGTCCTCTGGTCACGGTTCTACCCTGATCTAATTACCACCTAATCACGTCCTAAAGCAGTTCTTATCAAATAGAGAGGATTGACTAATCTCGGACTTACCACGACTGAGTGAATCCCCAATCCTGACTGCATCATCTGGCTCGGAAGTCTTGTCAGTTTTGGGCTAGATTGGCTACTACCTGAGCAAGATGGTCAGTTTTGGGCTAGATTGGCTACTACCTGAGCAAGATGGTCAGTTTTGGGCTAGATTGGCTATTACCTGAGCAAGATGGTCAGTTTTGGGCTAGATTGGCTATTACCTGAGCAAGATGGTCAGTTTTGGGCTAGATTGGCTATTACCTGAGCAAGATGGTCAGTTTTGGGCTAGATTGTATTACCTGAGCAAGATGGCCTTTTGGGCTAGATTGGCTACTACCTGAGCAAGATGGTCAGTTTTGGGCTAGATTGGCTATTACCTGAGCAAGATGGTCAGTTTTGGGCTAGAATGGCTACTACCTGAGCAAGATGGTCAGTTTTGGGCTAGATTGGCTACTACCTGAGCAAGATGGTCAGTTTTGGGCTCGATTGGCTACTACCTGAACAAGATGGTCAGTTTTGGGCTAGATTGGCTACTACCTGAGCAAGATGGTCAGTTTTGGGCTACATTAGCTACTACCTGAGCAAGATGGTCAGTTTTGGGCTACATTAGCTACTACCTGAGCAAGATGGTCAGTTTTGGGCACTTCCCACGATCGCTAAATCATTATATAATTTTATTTATTTATTTTAATGCCAATAATATTAACTTAACCTAACATAATGATCCTAGGTTAAAATAGATTACGTTTGAGGTCAGATTAAGTTACGTTAATTTTGAGTAGATTATATTAAGTTTTGTAAGGTTAGTATAAGTCTGGTTTAGTTAGGTTAGGATAAGACTGGCTGATAATGGATTAGGTTAGGTTAGGTCTGACTGGTCCATGTCACAGGAAATATAATTGGCCTCCCGGTGCCGTTCGTGGTAACTCTCTCAACACTGATCATTTTGCAATAATCTAAACCTCGGCCCTCCCCCCACCTTCACCAGAGTCCGGGACGTGCTACCTTCACCCCCGGGACTCCCGCAGACTGCAGGACGTCAGTGCTAAAGTGGACCTGGTGTTCGACCGTCTCACTGACCCGGACTACGACTACGACTACTTCGTCAGTATGTAGCTCGACACCCACACCCTGGCTCCCTCAGTGCGCAACTAATCCAAAAAGTATCGAGACCTCAGACGTCCGAAAAATATGAAACCTCGGGCAAAGACGTAATAAAGCTGGTGCATATGGTAAAGTTCACACACCTCCCATATTAGTGGTATAAACATGGCTACACCACCGCCACAATGTTGTTGACTTATAGCTGCTGCAGATACGTCTCTCTTCAGATTACAGAAAATGGATCCTGTGCTTTTTGTGTTGCGAGTTATTCTGGTTTATCATAATTCGTTTATTTTTGTTCATCACATGTTTCGGCCATAATGTATGCAAGTGTGTTGTGCACCTACCAGGCCATCTTCGAATCCATGCGAACTTCATAATGTATACTATAGTCAGAGGCACCAACCCATACATGAACGCATCTGAGGGTCTTGATACTTTTTTGGTTTGGCTGTACCTCTATAGTTACTGAACACCCGACTCCTACCTTACGCTCACGTTTAGTATTAGTCGCATTTTTTTAATATTATGATCATTATTGTTGATGCTATTACTATAAGTGTTATTATTTATATTATCACAATTTAAAAATAGATGCATGTTTTACGAACTACATATATCTTACATGACGTAACGCTGTACATTAAATACATGTGTCTGTAAAACGTTAATGTAGATGAAGTAAGGCATCACGCCGCCGCGCCATGTAAACAAAGACATCAACCTCTACTCTGGTGCTGCTCTCCACTATAAGACCTTGTGACAGCTGACTGTGTCTGTCTTCACCTCAGGTCGGGTTGACAATGTTTTCTAGACTGGCACTTTGTACATCTACTGTTGTCTTATTAGACGCCACAACCTTACATCACGACCCCAGTGGGAATATCGCCCTAAATGTCCTTTCTTACAGCCATTCTTGGTTGAATCGACTTATTGTATTGATTACCATTCTTTGTATACCAGTACATGTGAATTTGCGCGATGATTATCCAAAATAAACATCTACCGAATTATCCCCCCAGGTCACCTCCACCAGCGGCCGTCATCCCTCACAGTCCCTAGCGGCGACGGCCACAACGGCGGCGTCAACAGAGACAACAGCGAAGAGGAACCCTCGCCCGAGCACCTCTTCGCCAGGTTCTGGAAGAGCCTCTTCTCGCCCTTCAAGAAAATGAAGAGACGATTCCGAGTGTTCGAAAACCAGCTGACTGCCGTACAGAGGTACTGTGACGTCACCGCTTGGCAATATGGTGTCAACTCTTAGTAAGTTGACGTCAGCTTTTAGTTAAGTGACTTAAAAATTTGTTAGTGCAACGGGCCGTCATGGTAAAATTACACTACTGTATCGCTTATTAATGTAACGTTGCCTCTTGGTGATTTGTATTAAACCAGATGTTCCTCCCGCGGACGGTCAGGTCGTGTAATGAGTCAGGGAGCTTGGAGGCGTACGTGGCGGAGGTGGGCGGTGTGGTGCAGAAGAAGCTGGTGCCGTTGGACCAGGCGCTCAGGGAGGAGATGGAGGTGACCCGCGTGGCAGTCAACGACCAGTCAGCCAATATTGAGAAGGTGTCACAGGTGAGACAGAGCCCACGGTGATGTATGAGGAGTACAGTACTGCTGCTTTACCTGCTGCTTGTTAAGTGTTCACAGCAGAGAACAACACAAATGATTTATGCTGCAACAAGTAAGATTATTCACCCCACCCCCCCTGCTTAACATCCCAGCTCTAAACATATGCTATTACAGTTCTTGGTGACCTTTGTTCATTTGCATGACTTAAAGCAATGTCTGGTACAGTTATGTTGGGTAATGTTGTGGTGTTATGACAGGCAGTGGGCAACACGGCGTACGTGAGCGAGCAGCTGCTGACGGAGATGACCAACCAGTTCCAGGCTCTACGGACCAACATCCAGGACAGGTTTGACGAGACCAGGAACCTCATCCTCCAGTACTGTGCTGGTGGCCACAACCCCCGAGAGCCAGACTACACCCCGAGGGAGGATCCTTACACCCCAAGGCAGGATCCCAACACCCCGAGGGAGGATCCCTACACCCCGAGGGAGGAACCCTACACCCCGAGGGAGGAGCCCTACACCCCGAGGGAAACGCCATCACGACCAACCTACCCCACCACAGCAACGACCAGAGCTCCACAGTACGCCCCGCCAACACCACCGCTCCCCACCTCCCCCAGGTTGGTCCACGCTCACACTGGTACAACTATCAAGTGTTCAGGATGACCTAACACACTTTAAAACTCCATCCTCAATGAACTACACATGAGGTTAATATTTTTACCTTTGTATTATTGTTAACGATGTGATAAACACTTTGTCGAATATCTTCACATTAACACCTGACTATTACAGGTAGCCTTTAAAATATTGGCATGTTATACTGTTGTGTTTTACGGCGTTTTCTCTAGTTTTCCCTCTGAGCACCTTACTGCTGTGCTCACGTGTAGAGCTAACAAGGCCCAACAAAGTATTCCTAAAAGATCTTAATTCCAGAGTAGAGAATGTCAGACACAGAGACAACCAGGTTGAGCCTCCACAAGTAGAGCCAGAGATACACACTTTACAAGGAGGAAGGGGCCACAGATTTCGTACTCGCTACAGATATCGATTTCATGATCCACCTCAGAACAAAATGGTAAAAGCCAACCGCCACTCTGTAAAACAAGCCATAAGCAGAAAGTCATCCCAGCCCAGGAGAGGCAGGAAAAAAGGCTCCCGTAAGACATCCAGACGTAGAGGCCGACCAAGGATGGGTTCCGAGCGGCGACAACCTGAAGGGTTGCATGTAGGCCGGGCCACACGAAATGTTGCCAACCAAACATCGACTGCCTCCGACCTGTGAGTGTTGCCATTATGGCTGCTACTCCTTCATATCTTTGAGCCTGCGTTAAAACCTTTCGGAGATGACTAAACTTCTTACAAAGCTCTGCCCTTCAATGACCGCCATAGTGAACGTCTGCTGCAATAGTTGCATTTGTCACCACTTAAGTCGCTCCATTTCTCTAAACATGTTGTGATCTTCAGTAGATGCTGTACTGTACTGTGTACGTCATTAACCGCACACTCACCTCAACAGTGAGGACTCAAGTGTCCTTCGGTGAATGCTTGAATATGTTCTATGTGACCGAACTCTTAAGAGCACAGGAGGCTTGTTGGCTTAAGCTTGTTGAGTTTGTGCACCAGACACACGAGGACTGGCAGTGGTATTGTCCTCCAGGGGTCAAGGCTGGCGCCAAGTCACATAAACTCAGTAAATAATATAAGGTAGAATGAGCTTGAGAATGACTAAATGAAATAATAAATTAAAACGAAACTGTTCTAACATGTATTAAAACCCCCCACTCACACACTTCTTTGTTTACTATCATAAGTAAGTATAACTTTTGTCCATAAACCTACATGACATGACACAGCAGAGCCCCAGCTACGTCATATACTGTACACCGTCATTCAGTATCGTTATTTGAGGAGATTTATGTGTTCAAAAAAATGACAACATATATGTGAGTGAGTGAGTGAGGCGTGACAGTGTTGTTCCCGCCAGCAGCAAGGGCGTGACGGACTGTTCTGACCTCTTGTCGCAGGGCGTCACCCACAGCACTCTCTTCAACTTCAGCCCCGGGTCACTGTACCACCTCCAGCAGGGACATGACTTCTACACCAGGTAAATCACTTACAACTCAACCAACGTCTATACTGTATTGTCTTTGACCACCGTTTTGAAAATATATGATTATGTCTGAAGACACTGAAGAAAAAATGACTTAAAAATATTATAAAGTAAACACCACACACTACACCCCTTCCCCCTCCATCACACCCCTCCCTCTCCATCACACACTACACCCCTCCCCTCTCCACCACACACCACACCCCTCCCTCTCCATTACACACTACACCCCTTCCCCCTCCACCACACACTACACCCCTCCCCCTCCACTGCACACCACACCCCTACCCCTCCACCACACTACACACCTACCTCCCTCCACCACACAATACACCCCTACCCCTCTCCCCCCCCCACAGGTATTGTGATCTAGAGACAGGGGGTGGCGGGTGGACAGTGATCCAGAGACGAGGAATGTACGGCCCGCCTTACTTAAACTTCACGAGGGACTGGCAAGAGTACAAAGAAGGTTTTGGTGATATTTCAAGAGAGTTCTGGTGGGGCAACGATAATATATACAGGTATGTGATGTTTATTATATTTACCAAAATGATCTGTGTCGGTACCATGTTTCAAGCGTTCTTCTTTTCTGATCGAAAGTATAAAGAGACACACATTTTTCGTGACTGGGTTAGGTTAGGGTGTTTAATCATCAGGTAAAATAAGCTAGGGTGCCTAATCTCCAGGTGGCCCACCATTATCTATGCAGTATAGTAAAACAGCTAACACGTTGGTTGTGGGTCTTAGGCTGTTGAGGGACCAGGACGTGATGATCCGCTTCGACTTGTGGGACTTCGAGGACAACTACGCCTATGCCGAGTACCTCAGCTTCAGGTGGGTCTCAATTCATAACAACACAATGCTTCCAGAACTGATTCACCTCATATAAAGTAAACCTCCATATCTCATGCACTACAAGGATATTCTTCTGGTCCTTAAAAATACACAAGTTTCTGCATTACAATAAGCTAGAAATATAAACACTCAGTGCGTAGATTCCTCAACCTGTCCACCTCCACTGACACCCTCCATGTACACCTACAGGATTGGAGCAGAGATGGACAACTACCGCCTGAATGTGTTCGGTTACCGCGGCAACGCCTCTGACAGCTTCTCGGCCCACAACGGCTACCTCTTCTCCACATACGACCGTGACAACGACGAGGCCCCTGAGTGTTGTCCCTGCGCCCCGGCCTATGGCGGTGGCTGGTGGTTCTACAGGTAGGTATTGCCCCTGTGCCCCGGCCTGTAGTGATAGATGGCAGTTCTACAGTTCCACGCTAAATCTTAGTAACATCTGCTGTGTTACTTTTACAGTTGAATGTCAAAAACTTATATACCAAGTCTATCTTTTCTTACACTCATCCACATAGCTTCTCGCTACCTCCAGTCAATAAAGCCAGCATCACCTAAACATTTCCAAGTGTCGTCGTTGCCTAACTATCCCAACACTCATGAAGTAAACCAAGCCTCAGGCGGCACGATGCATCAAGGGTAATACGATAGCAAAAGACTGCTGTCTATAAAATCACGAAATTAATTAAATTTTTCATTTAGAATTCAGCCATTTAACTACTAAGGCAGAGTGCACATTGTACTATGTCCACACCTTCCCTAAAGGGTACAGTCATATCCATGGAACCACCACCACCACTAGTCATGCATAATTGTGTGTTGAAAGCTCTCGATGTTTATGTTATCACGGCATCTAACTTTTAAAAATTGCATGATGATTTAATTTCTGCAATTTTGTAATGCTGTTATCAAACAGAATGAAATAATAATATAGGTGTAACTTTGAATGAGTCAACACAGTATCTCTGTTTTAGTGTTGAGTACTTTATATAATGGTCTGTTGTTGTCAAATGAAACTTAGGTAACTTTGTAGACTAGTTATTGAATGACTGTACAAGACTAAGAGTATACATACAGGTACATAGTTTTATATCAGTTATGGTCAAGTGCATTTTCCTCCTGTTAACAGTTGCTTTGAGAGTAACCTGAACGGGGACTACCACACCGACCCGAAGGACAACGACTACTACCGCGGCATCATCTGGGAATTGTGGCTGGGTGACTACTCCCTCAGAGCTACTGAGATGAAGATACGACCCGTCTCATTCTCTAGTGACGACACCCAGGGCTCCCCTTATCCCACCCCCAACCCTGACCCCACCCAGGTTGTCCCCAATGTTCCGGATGTCCCCGAGTTACCACTTCGTCATCAGTAGCTGCCCTTCACCCCACCCACGACGACCTTGAGTTATCCGTTCGTGTCACAAACATCTCGGCACATAGTTACGTTCTGTCAATCAGCTCACAGGTAACAATCTCCAGCCTCCTGTCCCCTTACTCACCTCCCCCTCTCCAAAACTCACTCTTCTGTCATTACTTAAATTTTTTTTGAGTGTTTTTATTTCTCTCTGTTATCTCTGCTCCTCTCCCACATTTATCAGAGGGTATAAAAACCTCAGAGACAAGGGAAGAAGTTGGAGAGGAGAAGGTGCAAGAGTTAAGGGTAACATGTATTACAGTAACCTAATCAATTCTATTTTTTCATACTACCTTCTTTTACTCCTTAGTCCATGGTCTAGTCTTATATATATATACGGTCACTATTGTGTGTTAAGAATGTCACCAACATGACCCTGTATGTACTGAGCTGCTCACTTCACTTTACTTGTCCCTCCTACCCCCTCTTCCTATGCTCCCTCCTGGTCCTCCTTCCTTGAACTTCCTCCTGCACTCTCTCCCTTCTACCTTGAACTTCCTCCTACCTTCTCTCACCCCTCCTAGTCCTACCTGTTCTCTCTACCTTGAACTTCCTCTTACTCTCTACCTTCCTCACCCACTTTAACCTTCCTAACACCTTAAATCACAAGTAGTTATATATTCCATGCCAGAAGTCTTAAGGTTCCCCAGAGTTGTTCTTATCTAGTAGTCTTAGACATTTGGGGTCAGGATTCTTAAATATTCCAGATTTTTTTTCTTTTACCTCCAAGTGAGAACCGAGATAATGGTAGATAAAGTGTACAATCTTGATAATATTTCTAGCCTTCATCTTTATGTTATATGTGAGTCAGGTTCCATACTACTGTGTCCTCTCCCATCAACAGTTAGGTACTAATGAATAAGTTAGCAGACGACTTGTTAAGACACAGAGTCTTTTGGGTGTAACATATATAACTCTTTCTGTATACCCAAATTGTCTTGGAATAAGTGAATGAATTACAGTAGTTTGAGGCGAGTCAGAAAGGAGCCAATCACACCCCTTTTACAGTCAGTCACCTGGCGGAGAACTGTTGAACTATTCCAAAGACCTACCACGTAATATTTTCCAACAAATCTGATTCTAAGGGACTGTAAGGGTTCAATTGACTATGTTACTGTTTTGGGGTATTTTTTGTGTGTGTAAAGTAAAACCACTATTTAACGTACTATATGGAGAGGAAAGTCTATTAGATGTGAATTATATAAGAGATGAAAGTCCTTTATATCGAAACTCCGTTAGATGAGAAATCCGTTATGTGGAAGTTTCACTGTATGTAAGAAACGTTAATAATGAGTTAATATATCCTTAAATATATCACTAGTGTCAGGTTAGTTATGGATCCAGAAGGTAACTCACCTCCCTGGTAGACAAGAGTTCAGCTGCTGGATAAGAGGGAAGATCTTACAACATGTGGTAATCATTATACTGTATATTGTTTACAGATTACCACAGTCTCACAACTGACACGACACAAATGATTCTTTAGATCTATTAACACACACACCGCAAACATTATCGTGCCAACTCTGAACCACCACAACCCCTTAATTAACACTATGGGAGCCTCTGTTACACTAATATAGACTAATTTTTGGTATTCTTCGTTATTTAAGATATAAAAAAACTAATACTATATACTAAACATTTTTCAATAGATAAGTCACACACACTCTCTGCTTCCAGCCATCTCATCTGTAATCACTGTAACATATTGTACTTAATAAAACCTCTAATAATGTTTTTGTTTCCTAATACTGTAAAGGTTTAAAAAAAATCCTTAAAAAAAATGGTATCCTGTAATTGATTATTAACCACAGTATGTTCAGTAATGTATCGGCAGTGTTCAGTTCAGTATTTAGTGTTGAGGGGAACGAGTGTGAGGGATGGTGACCCCTTCCCCCTTTTCTCCCCCTGGCTCTTAACTCTATCACTTTAACTTGCCTGGGGGGTGTGGAGAGGGAGGCAGGGGGGTGGGGGTCAGATCTCCCATACTTATGACCATCTACTCACACACGCACACATATCTTTTTATCCTAATCTGTAATAAATCAAAGTTTCGTTTTATTTTTGTCAATTTTATATACATTTTCAGATGTCCAGTAAATTATATACTGTATCTGTTTTGTTTCCACCAGTCAATTAATGTTTGTGTATTTATTGTCAACACCCACGTCACAGTCAATGTTACTTTGTCTGCAAAATAAATTATAGAACTTTTTTGTCTTTACTTTTAATAACATTTGCCGCTCTTTAATATTTTTTGTAATATACACATTATCATACAAACTCGCCATCCTCCTATAAATGTTTGTTGATAAAAATACAATTCCATCACACGATAAATTCATCGTGTACTTTCGCTAACCTTATGTCAAGTTTAGGCTCGAAAACTAAGTAAAAAGTTATTACCGGTATATTTATTCTTATTTACGTTCTCAATAATCACAAACCACCAATTGTACCATATTGAAGTTTGAACAAAATTACCAGATATTATTTTGTATTACTATATAGGTGATAACTGATGGTCGGATGCTGTGTACTTTGTCAGCAACAGATGGGAAAAATTTGGGCCGGAAGAATAAAGGTGTTGGTCCCTGTCTGGCGAACAATGTACCTCTCAAACCTTCACTTGATATATCACTAAATTGAACGTGTAATTATCACTCCTTTTCGTGGCAAGAGTCAACTACACACAACTGCCTATTACCTACTATCCAATAGCTACCAGATGCCTTTGTCATATTATTTCACTCAAAGTCTGCAATAAACATCAACTAAGAGCAGGTCATAATAGAAAAGTTGGTGGAGGCAGGATCTCTGAGCTGTAGTTGTGTGAATGTGTGCCCTAAAATCTGCCGTTTCCTGCCATCATGACTCAAAAGTTCCAGGTGTCAACAAGAAACCTGATAACATGGTGTTTATAAGACCTATGAAATTACAAAAGTATAAACTAACCTACTTACAAAACTTTTATCCAAATATATATTAAATAATTATATATATTAAATTTAATTCCACACGCAGTAGACATGATTATACACAGGAAAACCTAACCACACCCAGCATTAAAAGGAAACTGTACTGCATCGCTCATACTAACTGTACACACACACTCCAAACAGTACCCACTCCAGTTGTCTTGGTGGGGTAATCAAAATCCTTCGGCCTTTGGTCCCATACTGTCTAATACAGTCATATGTTGTCGCCCGTCACCATTTTGTGACATCACTCTCACTGGCCACAAGCGGATTTTTTCATTGAGTACTGTACTGTACAATGTTATCTTACTTAAGGGAACAGGTCATCATACTCATAGGGTTATCACGCCATACTCAGAGGATTACCAACATACTCAAGGTGCTAAATCAACATACTCAAGTGGCTAAGTCATCGTATTCAAGGGTTAATATACTTATTCACTGGTTTAACCCACTATACATTGCAAACTGGATCGTACTCAAGTGGTTAATGCTATCTAACTCACTGGGTTAATCTACTGTGCTCAGGGGACTATCATCGTACTCAAGTGGGTTAATGTATTATAATCACATCAAATACTTTACCATAGAATAACATATCAAATTCAACTTTTTTATAAATACAGGTAAGTCAACAACTCGTAATCAGATTTACACTACAGGTGGCCCTTAATTAACCTGTATTGTATTGGGATTACTTCTTCTTCTTCCTCTTGCCCTTCTTGCCCTTGGGCTTCTTAGCGTCGGGTTTCTTGGCGCCTTTGCCCTTGAGACCCTGTGCCTCCAGCTCCTCCTCCAGGTACCTCGCTCGCTTTTTCATGATGGGCGTCTTCTGGTACCATGCCCGCATGGCCTCCTCCTCCTCCCTGCCGGACACACAACGGTTAATACTGTACCTCTCTCTTCAACCACAACCATAAGTAATACCAAAGATTCTACCCGCACTCCAAAAACAACCACAAACTTAACATGCCACAGCCACTACTACCACACTCTAACCAGGCATAATAGCCTAACACACCACAGCTACTACCACAAACATAACACACCATAGCTACTACAACACAAATACTGCCACACTTTAATTTTTCAAAGTTACTTTTTGGCGTTTGTGTTATTCTGAATTTACTTAAGTAGTTACACCTTAAAATTAAATTCCGAGAGAAAAGGTGTTTTCGGCCTAAAATTCTACAAGGCTCACTGTTTCGGCCATAATCTTGATCTACAGGGAATCATTGTAACCTGGAAATAAGAGAGATCTCGTATGAAGAGTAAAATTAATGTACTGGATCAATTCCTCGTGAAGAAAAACATCTCAATTGTGTATGGTGTTAATGGAATACGCACACACAATTTACTCCAACACACACACACACACATGGACGTTAAGGGTTAATTGAAGTCTTCCCGATAAACAAATAATAGATACTGACAATGTTATAATGTGAATTGGAGTAATTGTAAGGTTCTATCTCTGTTTGTCTCTCTCTCACGTACCTGTAGATAGGTTCTATCTTACTAAGAGGCACCACAAACTCAAGGGCTGTGAGAGGTGTCTTGTTCTGCTTGGCGAGGCGCTGCTCTGTCACCACCTGCAAAAAGACGGGAACCCTTAAATGCTATACACCTGCAGTAGGACAGTTTATAATGACACAGGTGACAGTGACATCTTGTATAATTGTAAAGTTTAATTTACACGAACAGTTTTATTAAATATATAACAACACATTATCAAACCTATCTAATATCCAGTCTGTCCACATTACAATCCTGCCCCAAAACCCTGCCCCATACACTACAATACTGCCCCCACACACACTACATCACCATCCCACATGTTACAGCTCATAAACACAAATAATTCTTCAACATATCTTCCGCATATTATTTCTGGAGATATCAATGACTGTCGATGACTACCTGAGACCCATCGGCTTCCAATCGGTGTGAGGCAGCAACCATGACACTATAACTGGCAATAAACACCCATCTACCCACTGACTACTGCACCACCACCTCCTCACTCACTCACCTGACTCGCCACACTACAGATGTGGCCAGAGGTGTAACCATCACTTATACGGGCCAGTCCACCAATGTCCAAGCGAGGCGTTAGCTGCAACGGAGAGAGAATAACCAAACACCCACGAGTTATACCTCCAGTGATAAGATTTAAAAACAGAACCGAACTGATAGCCAATCAAATATAATTTTGCCTGTAGATTAAACAAAGTTAAGAGTTGTATTAATTCCTCGTTACACTCAATATTATCTTCACAGTCATAACATTCTACGAGGATCAGTGGCAAAATGTATGGAAGTATTTGACTCCTAATCTGACTAATGGTCATAACAGTGAGTGGTGGAGAAGGCGAGTGTTTACCTTGACGCCGTTCTTTGTGATGAGGTGTCGCCAGAGCTGGGCGCGGGCACTGAAGGTGGGGCGCTGGATCATCACCAACTTGTTGTACACCGACGATAGCGACTGTAACACAAACAACATACATCACAGATTCCGATGTCAAATTTTTCCCTTACATCCACTATCATTCAACATTCTCAAAAGGTTTCTAGATTACCCCCCTCCCCCACTCAAAGAGAATACATCAAGTTACGGTAGTCTCACTGTCATCTCGAGGTCATTATTATAAACTACATTTCAGGATGGCGGCATAAGTACGGTATGTCAGCTTCATGAGTGTTCTCGTATCCGATCACGGAAAAGTTAACATAGGAACTTTTACAAATCATATTAACACAAAATACTAAGGTTGCATAAATATACTGTAGTTATAATTACTGTATGTATATCTGACACCTACTCTAGTATTTGTGATGATATTTATGTACAGATGATGAATCGTGTTAAGCATCATTTAATGAAACAATCTATAAAATGGAAGACATTCGCAGGAGCTGCCTTATTTTTATTAACTGTTTGTTGTGACTTAAATTAATACAAACACACACACATTATAGTAAACCCAGCATTTAGTATATTACATCCATCACCTTGCAACAGGGAGAGGTCAAGACAATAAAGAGAGAGGGAGGAGACTGACCTTGGCATCACAGTTCCAGGGAGCATTGCTGATGCCCACAAAGACTATCTTGTCCTCAGGGCCAAGACTCTTCAACATCCTTGGCATCTCCTTCTTCAGCCGCCTTGGGTCTGACTTATCAGTCTTAGGCACCTGAGGATAGGCAAGAGTGTTAGTCATCTTGTGGATATCAATACTGACTCATTTTTTGGCCTGGCTGGGCTGACAACTGGTTAGTCATGACGATTATCATGATATTAACAAGGAAAAATGGCTTCGCTTAATCAACATAGGTTTTAATATAACGAAACAAGTAGTACGACAGAGGCATGGGGAAACTTGTACAAGATGAAACTAACCTTCTTGAGGAACATCTTGTCAGCGGCGTCAATCATGATGAGTGTTGGCTGCAGCAGACGACCCACCTGTGTCAACACCAAGACAAACTTTATATGAGAGGCAGCTGGAGTAGCATCTACCTTAACACCATCTATTAGTGTCCAATTATCTGAGTTACTTAATTGAGAGGCCACAGTCATAAGTCTCGGTTTGTTACCTTCATCACCAGGTGAGTTAGCATGTTTAGGCCTGCCCTGCCCGGGTATCTGCCCACAATATTGGTGGCTGTGAGGTCCATGAAGGTGGCGCCGGACTCATAGGCGAGGGCGTGGACGAGGCGAGTCTTGCCACACCCACGTGGCCCACACACCAACACACTCTTCACCATCTGCGTCTGCTCGTGCACCCCATCCACTCCTGCAACACACAGCTCATAAATACATACACACAATTTCAAGGCAAGAATTCTACATTAGCTGAGGTAATATTAATTCAAGTAACAATATGAACATATTCCTCACTTTCAGATACTGTCTAGTGACACATTTCCCAAGCCAAAGTGAATGTAACCAGTGATGAACTCACCCAGCGGGAGAACGACATACTCTGTCAGGATGTTCTTGATGTCACCGATGGCGGGCATCGGGTACTTGGTCTTGGCTACCATCTCACACCCCACCAGACTCACGTCTCCGTACAGTTCACTCAGCCGCACCTCTGGCACCTTCTTGATGATCCCTGCAACACCAACACCACTCTTAAGTCACGCAGTTGAAGATACAAATACCTGTACAGCATAAATGAATATTAAGTAAATAAAATAACTTGTCACTTTGTATCATGACATAGCAAACTGCTTACCTGAGCAGGAAGTCGCGTCTCCAAATTACAGTAGAGTATGTTGAAATTAGAGAGATGACTAGAAAAGAACTGGACAGATCAAGATACCATGCACTATCACAGAGCTCTGAATATACAGCTAAGAAGCATCAGCACAGGTACAGGTTTGGGTACAGTGTCCAGGATTCAGAAATCTCCTTAAGGTGACAAATAAATCTCAAATCTACACACTTAAAACACAAGACACTTCCTACAGAGCCCAAAAGGTGTAGCTTAGATGTGTGTACAGTAATCATTAATATCCTAACTCCACCATAAGTATCTTTTACATTACTCTAGAGAGAATATAAGACAGTATGGTGAGGCCTAGTGGGAGGCACCTGCAGCCTTGACCCTCACCGTTCAGAACCAACTCCTCAAACAGGGACTCCGTAGTTCTATCTGGCGTTAAATCCTTCTCCTTCCTCTTCCTCCCTTTCTTCCCGCCCTTCTTCACTCGCTTCTTCTTCTTTGCTCCCCTCTTCTCACCCTCTACATCCTGAGAAAATCACAAAGTGGCTCATGTTTCCACACTGTAAAGGACCTCAGTACAGTAGAGGTAACCCTAGTTATTAAATTCCAAGACGTATGGCCCAGGCTGAAGGGTCAAGTAAGCCCCAGTCCTTATAAACCCCAACCTATTCTAACCATGAATATTTGCAAACAGTTAAGTTACATTAGGTTTTATTAGTTCATGTGTGATTAGGTTAGGTTTAGTTTGATTAAGTTTGGTGTGATTAGTTTAAGTTTGACTAGGTTTGATTAGGTTAGCATGAGGGTGGTTAAACTTTAGATAAAATATGTTGGGGTGGAGATTCTTCAAGTGATCCTAATTAACCAAAGTTTTATTCTAGATAAAGGTTTCATAGTTGCAGTTTAACCTTGTACTAGCTCATTAACATAAAATCTAACCTTTCATTACCTCTATAACATTTACAGCTTAGCTTTGTAATACCTCCTTAGCATTTACAATATAGGTTACAATTAACATTTACAGCTAAGTCACCAATATAGGGCATTCTATTACCTCCTTCAGCCTCTGGATCTCCTGCCGCATGAGGTAGTCCACTTGGCGCCTGATCTCTACCTCCACCCTAGCCCTCTGCTCCGTCTCGATCATGTCCTCCTCCGGGTGTTCTTCGGTGTTGTCTTCAATATCCTTCACCGACCACACGTCTGCCCAACACACAGCAACACCAAGAAACTTTATTCAAGTACATAAATGCAGGGACATTCAGGTGTACAGTATAGTTCAGGTACCGTAATGATTACCATATTCAAATCAACAAATAATTTATATAGACATGTTTGGGTTTAAATGCTTGCAAACAAATACTGGTAACACAACATTGAAAACATAAAAAAAAGACTATTTTTCAAAAAATCAATACAGTATAGAAAACATGTCAATACAAATAACAACAGAAAAAATGTGTCAAATGAGTGTGGAGGAACGACAGGCAGGTGGGGGGGTGGTCACTCACCCTGGAACTGGTCGCACGCCCCCTGGATGTCCGTGACAAAGCTGGATGGACGGAGGACAATGGCCTTCTCCTCTTCCTCCTTCTTCTTCTTCTGCTTGGCTTGTTCCCGCGCCCGCTCTCGCTCGCTCTAGTGGGTCAAGGGGCGCGGGGACGAACTCATCATTACTGAGTGGTGGCCGACTAGTGCGGTCTCATTAATTTCACTTATACAGTATAACAATAAAGAACTTATAAAACTAAAAACATAAACAGTTGAGTGTTCATACATTGTGTCTCAGATTCATTTCAGCTGTTAAGTATGAAAACTAAATTTGCATATCAAAGCTACGATGAATAGGGGTGCATGAGTGTTGTAGTGACACATGAGAGGTTGTGGCAGACTGGCGGCCGCCGACACTAGTACAGGAGTTGGTCGTGGCTCACCTACTGCTTCAGCACTACTGTCACCATACATTCTCCTGATGGTTACAATAACATTCCTAACTTAATATTAATGTGTCTCTAGCAGACCTGATTCACTACTGCTTCATGTCTGACATTTAAAAAAAAAATCTGGAAACGGTATATACTGTAGGTTTGATGCCTTCCTCCAGATTACACTTGAATAACCCAAGTAATAAGTATAAAGTTACTTTAAATTATCATAATGCATAATTTGCATAAATTACAGAAGTACAGTATACAGTATTTATATTTTCTCAAGTTCCCTCACAAATGATTATGGAAAGTGTTGACAGAAGGCAGGCGAGTGTGTGTTTGGGTAATGGTCACAACAATAGTCAGAATCAGGAAGGCCAAGAGCAGCTGACTACCACCACTGGCCTTGATGTTATGACGAGGTAAAGTAGAAGTAAAAAAGGAAACCAAATGTAGGTGAGAGTCACAGTCCCCTAGTGTGGCTCACAAACATCAGTAGGTGTAAACTACGAGGTATACCTGCTCGCACACACACGAATAAAGTTTTACGACGAACTACATATCCTAAGATACGACTCAGGGCCAATTGCAAGAACAGTCGTTGGGTGTACGACGCCATTTACGAAGACCTTCTTGCCCTGGTCTTTTTTCAGCAATATCGCCTTTAACACATGGAATTCTGCACTTTTCGAAGCTTTAGAGGAGTCTCGAAACAAGTTTCCTGGTGGGAATTATTAGCTAGTGCTGTACTCAAAATATCGAAACTTCGAGATCTCTCCAGAGCTTCAAAAGGGTGGTATAACTGAAACAAGATCAGGGCAAGAAGGTCATCGTAAATGGCGTAGTACACCCAACGACTGTTCTTGCAATTGGCCCTCAGAACCGCCGCCATATATCTCGCCCAGATGTAAATAAAGTGTTGATCGCCATGATTAGAACATTATATTATTTTCATATTATTAGCAAAATTATATAATCTATGCCTGTCTACTATAAAATGTTCAAATAACTAACCAATGTTTTATGTGGGAAATCAATAAATGTGCTAATATATTCAAACATCTAATTTCTGTGCTACAATATACTGTATATGCCATGCAGTGATAATACCAAACATGAGTGTAAGCAACAATTGGCTAAGAACATCTAGTTAAAAAAAATAATAATAATAACCATGCACTACTACTGTTAATTGTTTCTACTAAGTGTATAAACATAAAAGAATCCTGAGAACGTCTCTTGTGTTCAAGTTGTTTTAAACGAAAAAGAATGTAGAGCCTTACGTCGCCTGAGCGGGGTCCCGGGGCGGCCTCCTGACACACGGGGACAACACAATGTTAACTGTACACCCACAACAACTGGTACAAACATCTTGACACATTCTCACCACAAAGAACAATATTCTAGGACCCTGACACCATACAGTAGACAATCCTGGCACCTTCACACAACACGTGGGAGCTGGACTGTCAAAGAGTAAATGCCTCAGAGTGCACATAAAATAACCACTGCTGGAACACCTATCAGTTCCTCTTGTTCAGGTAAATATAAAATTTTTAGTCTTGTGAGAGACCTGGTGCTGGACCTCCACAACACTGGCCACAACTACCCAGATACTGATTACAGCCAATACTGAAGAAGAGTTACAAAACAGCTACTTAATCTAGGGAAAAAAATGATACCGTACAAAGATTTTTTGACAATGAAAGGTAACGCCTGGCTACTGATTACTGCCAATACTGACCAAGAATTCCAAAACAGCTATCAGTGCTTAATATAGCAGAAAAAAATTTAAACTGGAACTTCTAAACAATGTGATGGGCTAGACTAAAAAAGGAAGCACTGTACAATACAGGTGATCTCTAAAGCGTAACGCTGGACTAAGTGATCTACATTAAAACTAACCTTACATAGTATACCATAAATAAATAAAAATATGTGTAATAAGAGGCATGTATCTGTCCTACATTTAAAAAGTTGTAGGTTGTTGAAGAAATGTGAGATTAAAGAGTTTCATAATCGAGAGGTGAGAGAAATGAAGGAGGTACATGATGACCAGGTTCAACCAAAGGGAACCTACATGCACGGAGTAAGGATGGCACAATAGGAACTGTAGTGCGTTAAGACGGGATTGGATTTCAGTGACACACTGACCATGGGAAAAAGTATTTGGCAATGTAAAGTAAATAGTTTACGTCATCTGAATACGAAGAGGAGGCTTGGAAAAGATGGACTGGTTGTTCATGAGACGTTCAACTTTAGATTGTGTCTAGTCTCTCTAACACACACACTGGCACACAACTAACATCTCCTGTACACCCTCAAACACAGTATCAACTTCAGAAACTCTCCTCCACACTAAGAGGAGCATAAACTCAGATGTCACACACACACACATATATACAGTACACACACTCTCTCCTCCATAACTCTCACCTTCCTCTCGAGGGACCTGGCGTCGTCACTGATGGCGTCATCATCAGGTCGCGCCATACCTACGATAGCAGAAGAGCCGCCTTCGTCCTCCTCTGGCAGGTCTGGGAACTTGCCAGTCTCATGTCTGTATCACAGGTGTAAAATGAATTAGACATGTTGTGAGTCAAAGATAAATATTTGTTGTTATAATTATACGTTTTTAACTTCATTGTGAAAAAATTTTCATAAGGCAAAGATGACTAAACAGCGGTTGTAGTGAACATAAGATATGGTGGATCAAAGGTAAACACACCCAAGGTAAGACACATGGTGTGACAATAACACATAAAACATTGCAGGTGCTGTGTGTGAGGCACAGGAAAATGTTGTGTTGCACCAGAAAGTGTACAAATTAAGAACATGAATTCGTACTCAATATACAGAATGAGTAAAATGAAAAAAATATGATAGAAATATATAGATAAGAACCAAGCCACGAGGGCCCAGGGCAGCAGCAAACATGTTACAGAACAGTATAAGCCTCTGCTCCACCAGACTACGAAATGTAAATACTGTACTGTACTGATAACCCTATTACTCCAAGTCCCTGTAAACTATTATCAATAAAGCTGTAGTGTAACGAGTGATAGGTGTACTGGCTGTTGTTTACAAATGTGGCAGTTTAATGTTGTGTTTGGCACTCTAGCCCTGTCAACGACACGTCTGGATATGTTCAAATTAATCTTTTTAAGCTTCCTGCAAGAAATCTCCTCTGGCTCTAAATACGTTTACAGTGATAAGCCTTGATACTATACACGATGTGCTTTTAACTGACTTTAAAAGTTAGCTTTTATTTTTAGTTATTTACAGTTAAATTAATTCTGGCAGAAGGGGTAACTATGCTATAAACACCAGTTTCTCTCCTGTCTATTTCTACTTTGCTTTTAACATCAGCTGCCTGCAAACAAATTCCTGAAGACATTGAGGCATTGAGTTACTCAACAGAGTTAAATGCCAAAGATGTGGGGAGACAAACTAAGTACAGTACAAGGAGACTGTTCCTCACCTCTCCGCCTGCAGGTGGGTTTCAAAATGTTCTCTCTCCATAGTTCTGGCCCAAGACCACATACACTTATAGACAACTGGATATAGCATAAGCACTAAACAGTGAGGAATGACAGAGTACTACAACACCACATAAGTAGTGCGTGGTATTGACTGGTTCAAAGAGCCCAGCCGTAATAAACCAGGATCCAGCTGAACCTAACCTGACCATCAGCATAGGTCCTAATTTTAATGAGGCCCAGTTTATGGCCTGGTAAGACTAACCCAATGGTGATGAGTGCACACACACAGTGGCCATGCTACAACAGACTCACTTCTTCTGGAAGATCCACTCACGGATCTTGTCCTCCATGGAGGTAAGGAGTTGGTTTCCCTCCTCATACACGATCTTGGTCTGAATGCGTTTCTGCAGGTTGTCCAGCGCCACCTTCCTGTCTTCCTGCGCTAGGTACCTGGTCTCCTGCACCTTCTCCAGCTTCCCGCCCCAGCTCCGGTCCAGTGTCGGGTCGGGACGCTGCCAAAAGACGAGTGTTTTAGCTTTCGTTACAAGGTTGAATGTACCCAGCTTTAATAGAAAATAACTGTCTTATTATATAAACAAATTTTAATTTCATAATAGGAAGCTGGTGATGTTATAATACAGTAATTTGCAAGTCAATGCCGTGTTATAAAATCTACTATAATGTGCATTATAAAATATCAACAGTGACGGTTTGTTTTCCTTTTAAGAATTTTTCTTGATCCAGTAATATAAGAGAAAGAAAATGTTGTTAACGGCCTAGTGTGGACCTTTAACAGTATGACACATACAACACAGCAGTGACTGATAGTCCTCACCTAACACCATCTCGCACAAATGATCTAGTACTGTAGTAGCCTACATCTCACAATCACCTTACCCACAATTCCGATGGCTAATTTATATCTGTTTATGTACTACAGAAGTAGCTGGGCATGTTCATGCACCTCAATCTGTACCTTTGATTGTGAACTACAGTACTTTACTAGAATAAACCTGCAGTGTTTAGGGTGACGCACCAGGCCTAGGAAGAGTTCCTCTTGTAGCCTCATCTGGTTCACCTTCCGCCTGGCCAACATGCCCCGCGTCACCGCCTGCAACCTCACAACCGCCACCTCCTTTGAAACCTGTTGGCGCCCCCGTCCTCGGTCTCGCTCCTGTGGACATCAATTATAGTGTAACTAACCAAACATAGACATCCAAGACACTTGTACTCGTAAGTGTTGTAACTCGAATACCTGTATCACCCTGTAACTGACCATAGTAGATGTGTATATGCTGTGCTCATACCACCCTTGTGTGTGTGTGTGTGTGTGTATACAGTATCACAGTGATGTCAGTGTCAGCATCATGAAAAGGATGGTGGTCACCTGTCTGGCCAGCAGGTCCCTGCGGTGGTCGGCCTTGGCCCGTCCCTGCTTGGCACGCTCGTGACGCTGCAGCAGCATAATCGCCTCCGACACTGTTAGGGGCGACACCTCGTCCTCCGACACAGCTTCCAGTCCAGCACGACGTAAACAGTCATCTATCAGGGCATTTCTCTGGTGGGACAACCATATAAATACATTAATAACCCCTGGAAACATTTAAGAATTAAACTTTTAGAAAGTTTAGTTTAATTTACCATCACAGAGCACTGAAAAATCCCAAACCTTCCACAGTTCAAATTCCTTGTGGACAGAATTCATACAATAGTTCTCTGGACAAATTATCATCACCAAAATAATACAGTGGACCAAACCTAACACCACGTTGGTTGGTTTTAGAAGTTCTCAGTCTTTATTAAGCAAAGGCCATTACAGCTGACTCAAGAGAACTCCTGGTCCAGTTGGTCCACCTACATTTTGCTGGCTGGGGTCATGATTACCTTAGGCTTGACAAGCGATCATTCAAAATTTATGAACATATTACTAAAACACAATTAATCATAAGTGTAGTAATTTAACACAATGAGGAGACACTAAAATTTACTGTCATGAACATAAAAACTAAAATGACAATCTGGTGATATAATACAATATACAGTAAAGTCAGTGCTGTATACAAACACCATGACCAGGTCAAAGTTAAATACATTACTTGATGCCAAAGATAATTAACAAACACATAACACGACACAAGAATAAAATAGGAAATGTCGCAAGCTTAATTTTTTAATAGTCATTCACATGTTATACTTTATATTCTCCATGATCTATCAGCTGGGAGCCAGGAGGTCTAACATATGTAGCTGCTTTTTCTCGCGAATTTGTGCAATTAAGTCGATAACACCAGAGCGCCAGTACCATACTTCTCAGTGACATGTGTACCCCAGTATAATATTAGTCTATGGCTTACCTCTGAGATGATAAGTAGTCTCTCTCTCCTGATGTAGGTGGGGATGGGGACAACCAGGTCCTGGGGCGTGAGGTTGAGTTCCACCATGATGTCGTCACAGTGCTGGATGTCACTCAGGTCCAGCGACACCAGTTCGTGCTGCAGGGGAGTGTATGTTTGTAAGTGAGGTTAGGTTACGTTAGTTTAAGTTAGGTTAGGTTGAGTTAGTTTAAGAGAGGTTAGGTTAAGTTAGTTTAAGTGAGGTTTGGTTACGTTCTTCAAAAATGTTCTTTGAAAATTTTTCTTCAAACGGCTTGTGTGTTGTGTTGTCAATAGTAAGAGAAACAATTGAGACCCTGCAATTATACGTAAATGAGGCAGAAAGTCAGATCAGCAACCTGGGACTTGGTCACAATTTTCGTGATACCATATGGCAGCAGGGTCTACCATTAGACAATACATTATGCTTCCAATATCTTCCCAGGCGGTAGTACCTCCCTGTTTGGTAGCTGCCTACTACCTACCTACATTAAGGTTAAGTGAGGTTAGGTTAAGGTAAGGTTTGGTTAGTTTCGGCAAGGATAGCTTAGGTCACTTCATTTGTTCTTAAATACGAATAAGAATGTAGGTATAACAAGAAATATTTGAATACTAATGAATAACATTTAATTGTTAAATTAATAAGAAGTAATAACAGTTAAAATAATCATCGTTTGTTAATCCTAATGTACCGTAATTCATAATTTATTCCTAGAATTCAGTCACCTTAATATAATTTACATTTTATTCCTATATTTAATTCACCTTAACATATAATGGCATACAATATTTCTAATAGAATTTGTGATATATGGACGATTTCTAGCAATAATCGTCCACGTGAGAAGGCAAAAATCACACAGAAAAGACGATCGTCCATTTGGCAATCATCCAAGTGGGAGAGGACACCGGTATGACTCTTGTTGAGGTACCGACCTTCCCGCACCCAGCCAGTCAACAATGTTTGCAAATCACTACTTTAACCTAGCAAAAATTATCGAGATAAAAATAAACAATAACTTTTTTGCCTGATCTCGGCTACAAATTGTAATCATATTTTGTTGCGATTATTTGGTAGAATATATGGGAGCTGTTTACATTAGCCCAACTGATAGCTCTAAACTCGCTGAACAAGTTCGGTAATACAACTCAATGAGACTCAACTTTGCGGTAACAACTAATATTTACACTCACTTTCAACTCGACGATCCTGCCAATTGTGGCATCCAGTAAGCGACGCAGCAGAAGACGCTTCTGGGGATGTAAGAGCTGATCATGGCAGACGTTGAGTTTACGAGCAGCTCCCAGGTACAGCACGTACACACGCCGGACTCGCACTGCCACCTCCGCTCGTTGCTGACAATTTTGACAAATTGGTGTCGAGTGATACACTTGCACATTATAGCCCAAGTGGCTAGAGTCGATCAGTGGCGAAGAGGATAAAATTAAAAGTAAAGTTCTGTATTGGGATCCAATTTTAGAACAAGGGATAATTTACATAAAATACGATTCATATTTCTAGCCTAAATTGTGATTTTTTTCCCGTGACTTTATTTTCGTTCACCCAAAGTCCGACCCCTCCCTCCATAAAATTATGGGCACGGTATTTACATGGTCAAACATACTGACAATGTAAAGTTCAAAGTCACATGTTATGTCTTCAGAACTCAATTACTCTCGGAAACATCTCCAGCATTCATCTCATATATCTAAAACATGGAAGAAGGAAACTATTAATCTGGAAGATACAAAAAACAATATAACTTACGTCTGGATGAAATGTTCCCTGAAGTTCTTGATCTTTTTCCAGAATAACAGTCAGCTCATCCTGTGTTTCGGACCATAACGCATTGAACGTTCTGTAGAGTAATTTGAATCAACTATTATAAAACGGATGGTATGTGCCATTTTCATATAAATAAAGTATCTACATGTTATACAGTTTGTAATATTGTATCTAATTGTACCTGAACGACATGGTGCAGGACCCGGGCGGGCGGTAAATTACACAGTTGTCATGGTAACGGAAAGTCTGTCTTCTTAGCTATTATATTGTTCATTCACTATTTTGAAACACAATTGAATATTTGATTTATGTTTTAATTATAAATATGACATATAAACATCAAATTTATTTTTATCAATACCTTAAGTATAATTTTGTTCATTTTATTGTTTTCTAAATTTAAACGTTTGACATAATATTCAACCACAGGTCCACCGTACAGACTTCTGATAAACATTTAGGATTACTCAGAGCTACTATTGAGACCCCTTTTCTCTTTAATTGTTAAATTCCGTTTGAAGTTATTCAAAAAAAATATGTATTAAGTTCGTAGTTCACTTATCATTTGTTTACATTTTCTAGTGGCTTTTCCCGCCAAGTTTAGAGGCGCCTTACAGTACGCAGCGCCCCACAGAGAGAGGCCAGGCAGGCGGTGCTGTATTAGATGGCATTTGTTCTTTGTGTTGTCTGACAGCTTGTTTTATTTGGCCACAGTGAATATTAAGAATAAGACAAGATGTATGTCAAGGTGCGAACAATGGATGGCAGCCAGACTGCTGTGGTGACCATATCAAAGCTGACGAGTGTCAAGGACTTTCGCTTCATGGTGGAGGAGAAGCTGGGGATAGGAGTTGACAGACAACGATTGTTTTACCGCGGCAAACAGGTGATTATTTACTGTTTGTACATTAAAAGTAACTATGGGGTAATGGTTCCTCTGAGACACTTCATGTTATCGATTCAGATTTTCTGGGAATCAAAGTGCTAGTTATTTAAGATGTTAGTACCTGTTCCCAAGAAACCAATGGTTATTGCTAATTTTATTCATAAATCCACGAATTAAATGTCGTTGTCGATAATACTGTGGAACAGCGGTCCGAGTTAACCAGTACTATAGTACTTTTACCTCGAGATTATTTAAAAATTGATGTAGGAATTGTAATTATATTTTTTCCTTGGTTCTTTTTATAGGTAGCTATATTACAGCATTCCAACAATGCCATTTTGACCCTTTACAAGAGTAGAACATTTCATAAATTGTAGCACGAATAATTCGAGCAACTATTATATATCAGTTACGATGAACCAACCAAGCCTTCCTATCTTATGATGGAAATACAGTAATATTTTATGGCGTGGTTATTTAACCGGTCATGAACCTTCACCTACTTTTGTTATTTGTCCAGCATTCGTTCTGATTGATTGAAGTTCATTAGGCTGAAGCCTAGATTACTGAATTCAGTCACTAGCAAACCTAACCTGAACTAACCCTACAGTGTTTGTAACTGACCGAATTCAGTACACCAACCTAGACCAATCAGAATGAATACCAGACAGTTAGGGGAAGTACTGGTAAGTAAAGGTCCGTGACTGGACAAATAATAATTTTTAAGGTAATACCGGTACTGACAATTGTTCCGCGTATACCAGAAACGTGAACATTTGTCCCACAAAGATAAATGAGTTCTTACCTCAGAATAAATCGAAGAAGTAGACGAAGAAAACATTTTGGTATAATTTTTAAGATTCTTTCAAGTTCCGACGATAAATACACTAATTTCTTTGCATCCAAAACGTGAGATGTATCTTTGGTTCCTTTCAGAGATTTTTTTTTTTTTACAGTAGATGATAACTATTATTTTCGGTTTGGTTAGATTAGGTGTTAAATTTGTTTTATATCATTGGTGTAGTGGATATAGACCAGCAGTTGTGTAGGAGTAACTGGTGAAATCTTTCGGCAAGGTCTGGGAATGTTCGTTCATAATGTGAATATAAAAATGATCATCAGCTGTTGTCATCTCGCTAAAAAATTCCTGATGATAGGAACCATCAAACCATCTTAGAAATTAACAAAAGGCGCCATGGTGTCAGTTCTGGCCGTATATGACCATTCAGGGGAGGAAAATGTAAAAATTGTATCTCCAAAAATGTTTTCCTCTTACTTTTTTGTCCTTCGGAGGTAAAAAAAAAAATATATCTTCAGTAGAGAAATGTCTTCAAGTATTTGGTACCAATTGCAGGGTTAGTTATGCTAGGCAAGTTATGGAAAGGTTGCTGGGACGTGTTTGGGAACAGTTGAAGAGCCACGTGATATGAACCACCAAACTTTTTGGTCCTCGGGGTAGTTTAACTCGGGTTTGGTTGGGTCATCATTCATCTCCATTTCGCATCTATAATTATGACAAACCCATCACAAGCAAACTTTATGTTTAGATATGCTACTGAATTAAAGGTTGTTTATTGTGGTGCTAAAATAGATATTCTGTACATTGAATATTTATTAAGATAAATGAGATACCCCGTATATGTAATTATATATTTTTTGACCCCATAGATGGAAGATGGCTACAGCATGTTTGACTACAACATCAACATTAATAATGTAATTCAGCTGATGGTGAAGCCAGTGTTGACAGAAACAAACTCAAACACTAGTAATAAGCCTTCTAGTGTGAAGAAAGACTCTAGTGCTGCTGTAGATAAAGAAAACTTAGAGGTAAAAAAACACTTTTGTCAAGTTATTTTTCTTTTATTTGTGTATTTTTCCTCAGCCATCAATAAACTGCTTATAATTGATATAGAGATAAATGTCCAGGTTGTATTTTAAAGAATCACATTTGGAAATTCCTTTGACGGTAAAAATATTGAGTGCTGAGCATTAATACACAAGTATTTTCTTGAAAATGTGTGTGTGTGTGTGTGTTTTGTAAGCTGAGGGGAGTTGCATAGGAAATTAGGCATAACTCATTTTAAAATGTTGAGACAACATTAAATGATGAGAAACCATCAGCATCGTCCAATTGTGTGTGAGAGTGTACCAGTAGTGTTTAGACACAACCTTGTAAGCATGACAGGTCCTCTGGCTAACTTAGGTGAAAGACATACTGTAGGTATGTTTTCCTGGGTAAAGTCTTGGATAAAATAACATTTGATCTGTCTGTGACGTTTCAAACTAACCAACCAATCAGAAAACTGAAAACCTTGGCATCACCATTATTGTTTCAATATTGTACAGTATATACTGTATTGAGAGCCTCCCCAAGGTTACTATGGGCTTGGGCTAAGAAATTATTAGGGAGTTATGCTGCAAGTCCCAGTATTTGGACTCATTCTGCCTGCCCTCATCTTCTTCCAGACTCATAGGATTATTTGTGGTAACCCAAGTGGGGAGAACAAGTTGAGGTAAGAGGTAGTCCAAAAAAATGATGGAAGGGGGTTTTTGTTTCTTTTGAGTCTGAGATGCACAGTAGTGGATCATAAGTCTAAAAATATATTGTTTGAAGGAAAAAGAAAGGAATATTCTTCCCTCAGACCCATCCATTATTCTTCACAGAGTGTTATTACTGTGGGTAATACATGTCTAATTGCCTATTGTATATAACTTGCAGGTGAGAAATGATTGTTGTACAATTATATTTTTAGAAAATTGTACAAAGCAAATTCTATAATTAAAACAAGTTTGCGTATTATACATTATCTGTTTCAGAGTAACAATAATAAAGAGAATAAGGCAGCAACCACAAGGCAAGAGAGTGAATACTATAGAGTTGGAGACCTGGTTGATGCAAAGTTCCTCTATGATGGAACATGGTGGGAGGGAAGAATTGTTAAGATAACAGATAAACAGAAAGTCAAACAACCTTCTGCTGAAGATGATGGCTTCCTTTACCATGTTGTTTTTGAGGGGTAAGTTGTTCCAAGGCTTAGGCATGTTAAGGACCAACAGGGGCCCTGTAGACATTCACTCATTTATTTGCTCACACTTTTTTCTTTACTCTTGACTTTTTTAGTGGATGCTGTTAGTATGAACAGAGGTGTTCATGTTCCCAAGTGTTTGTTTAGAGGCTTATACTTTGTTATACTGGTGCCTATGCTAATCCTTTCTTATACTGTACTGATACCTAGACTTCTCTTTTGTGATACTAGTGGCTGAAGTGTGTGTACTATATTAATAAATGTGTTGCTCCCAGGTATGATGAAGACTCTCCTTCGGAAATGTTACTAAAACATATCCGGCCCCGTGCTCATATGAAAATTGAATTTGAAGATGTCAATCCTGGTGATGTGGTCATGGTTAACTATAATATGGAAGATCCTGAGGAAAGGGGACACTGGTTTGACTGTAAAGTAAGTACAGTATTAAGCATAGGCTGTACCAGTACCATTGATACTGGTGACATGTTTGTATATGTTTATTAGAATTTTCTCTTTTTGGCATTAGATTACAGTGACAACTGTAACCATAATATCCCTTGTAGAACAAACTTCTCATACTGTTTAAAGATACATTTCAATTATTTAAATCTGATAAATCTAATGTTAACAAAAAAGGAGTAAACTTTTAATGAAATGTTAACCTGCATCAATACTCTGCTGTTACCAGGTGTACCATTATGACGAGAATAACCTATTCTGGAACACATAAAATGATGCCAAACTTGACAATACTGTATGAGATTTATATTATGCCATGGCAGCCAATTGGATAAAATGCTCACCTGTCCTAAGGATTGCTAGTTTGAGGACAGGATACCCCTCGGTTCACCCAGCTGTGAATGGGTACTCAACTTTACCAATGTGGTACACCGAAGACTCATTATACTGTCCGGATTGTCATCTCTAACACACCATTGTACTTTTGGGGACCTCACTTTCAAATTTACCTTTGTATTACCTTGAAATATTTGTTGTAAAATTAAAACTTCAACTTCTTGTGAACAAATTTTTAGCAATATTTCCAGCATTTTAATTTAAAAGATAACCGGTATTCTTGTTTTGCCCATACTGTACTGGTCATTTGAATTCACCTTTAATTATATTTCCTTGCAGGTAAACAGAATCATAAATACAAGAACCCAGAAAGAATTGGTTGCTACAGTTTACTGTGGAGCTGAATCTACTCCTTTAGAAAACTGTCACATACATCTTGTGAATGAACTTTTTGCTGTGGAGAAGAACATAAGATTGGACAAACGCACTGAGGAAATTGATAGGCTTGTCACAGAAGGTTCGCCCTCAAAAAGTGAGTTAATCCCCATGTCAATATTATAGCTTCTCTATTTAAGGAATATCTTATTTGTGTTTTGGGATTAGTGTATCATTTCACCTCTATGTCACAGGACTTAAATTTAGAAAATTCCATACTGGTTAAAAAAGAATTAAGAGTATGGCATGATAGCAGTGAAGAATGTTTATTTTGGGGGTAGCATGGCCAATAAGATGGGAGCTGCAGTTGTATCTTACGAAATTCCAGGCTTAACTATACCTAAACTTGTCAAAACAATGTCTTCTCATACATTTAACTGTCAATGTTAATTAAAAAATATATTAGTACCCTGTAAAGCAAAAAATCGGTTGCCTCAACTGTAAATATATGACATTACAGTAAACTTCAGTTATATTGTCACCAAAAATGTCATAGGTTGGCTGCTTCGTGGCCATATAAGTATCACAGTTTGTAATTTCATAGCAAACTGCTGTAATTAGCCACTTGCCAATTTATGGATGCCTTAGTCATTCTTATTAGTAAATGTTTTGACTATGGTATCATAATTACAATTCCTATCTCAGATTTTAATTTGAAACTAGAATAGAAATTAATGCATGGAATAAAATACCTCTTAGTGACGTAAGTGTATGTTTATCTTATCCTTGTTAATATAATTTTCCAGAACCTTGAGATAAAGTCTATGTATTCAGTATCACATTGTCATAGTTTAATGTGTGATGTAGGTCAATGGTAAAGTACAGTGATACAGTAGAAAGTCGATTTAAAGTGGCATCCACAATTATGGACAATGTTTTAATTTAAAGCGAGTCAATCTGGCCCCTAATGTTTCTCTGAGCACGCTACACTGTCCTAAAGGCAAAGCTGTACTGTACATGTACTCAAAATAATGTACTAAATGATTACTAAAATTTTTGTCTAGTGCAAACTACTGTATAGCATGATTATATTCAAATTAATCACTATCTTATAATATTTCCCCCGGACTCTTCTGTGACATTTTATAAACAAAAAGCAAAATCTCAATCTAAAGGACATAAATAAACAAATAAATACTTCACTAGACCTTCGGCCCCAACTGTCAGACGTGTCACTGCCCCCATTTTCCCAGCCAGGGTTGGGTGGTTATAGGCTTACAGTTTTTATCTTATATAATATCACAGTCTAAAGAATATAATTTGCATTGCTAGAATCCTTGCAAGGCAGCAAATAATTTGAATATAGACGTCATATATTTTGCACAAAAGAAGAAGATTTTCGCCATTTGTAATTGGAACTAAAATTTGTATGTTTAATGCAAACTATAGCATGTTTATGTTCAAACTAATCACTTTTATAAGAATTCCAGCAATGTTATTTATATTCTCCCAGGTCAGTTTAGTGACATTTTATAAGAGAAAAACTAAGTCACCCTTAAGGACAGATAAATAAATAAGCACTAGACCTTGGCATCAACTGTCAAACATATCACCTCACCTCTCCCCTCCCCCCATCTTTCCGGCCAGTAAACAGACCATTTCGCTTCCCTTAATTTTAGCTGTGTTGATTTATGAGTGTTTGTTTTAACATAATTCTACAAAAAACAATGTTTTGTTTATTCTAGGAGATGGACTGAGTTGCATCTGGGTAGACTCAGTTTTTTTATTATTTTGTGTTTCTCTCAAGTACCAAACTAAATTATTCCATTGAAACAACACTTCGATTTAGTGTGAATTTGGTTTAAAGCAACCTCTCTTGGAACGTATCTCGTGTTATATCGGCGTTCTACTGTATCCCCGTTAGCCGGAATAATTGGTGCAGAGCACTTCCGGGAATGAGAGATTTCCGAGTAACGAGAGGACTCTCTCAAAGCCGGAAAAAAATCTCTCATCCCCGGAATGTTCTCGGAAATTCCAGAATTGCCCATTACATCACCGTTCGAACCCTGAAAAATATTCCTCATCCCCGTACTGTACAGGAAAAAGTGCTCCCAGCTGCTCATCTTGTAAGGATATTCCCAAAAGCAAGTGTAAGGAGTGTGGCTGCAATGAGTGTGGTGGGAAGGAGAACCCGGAGAAGCAGCTCATGTGTGATGAATGTGACATGCCTTTTCACATTTATTGTCTCACACCACCAATGGAAAGCATACCTGATGTAGATGAATGGTGAGTGAGGTATCCTGTTTTTGTCTGTCTACCTATTGTCCTTTTATTGTTAATCTGCCTATTTTCCTCTTTATGTCTGTCTATTAGCCTGTAATTGTCTACCTATTATCCCTATTCCCATTTGTATGGTCATATACCAGCTGCAAATATTTTCAGGTTCTGTCCACTGTGTAAGAATGATGACAGTGAGATTGTTAAGGCTGGTGAGAAGTTGAAGGAGAGTAAGAAGAAAGCAAAAATGGCGTCTTCTAAGAGCAACACGTCACGTGACTGGGGAAAAGGTTTTGCGTGTGCAGGAAGGCAGAAAGTGTGCACCCTCGTTCCACAAAATCATTTTGGCCCTGTGCCTGGTGTTGAAGTGGGTACTTTGTGGAAATTTAGACTACAGGTAATGGCTCTTTAGATTTTCTGTGTCTACTTATAAGAACTTTTATTTTGGCACACACACACACACAGTATCTACAAAACAGTTGGTGGAAAGAGAGTATTATGGGGATTGAGAAATGTATGATGAGAGAGGACCATGTCAAGGAAGAAATGAGCAAATTAGAATGGCAGAGGTAATAAGGCTAAGAGTGTTATGTAGGTTAAATAGGATGCAGAGAAGAAATACAGACTAATTTACTGGTGGATGGTAATTTATACAAGGACAAATATTTGTTACCTATTCAGTGGGAAAGCTTTTTGTACCTGCATGTAGCTGGTAGGCACTTATGAGTGGTAGCAGTATTGAGACAATATTTAGTTACTGTATACTTTGCCTTACTGTGTGCAAACAAGTAGCAGTTTTTATTCCAGCAAAATAAATTTAGGTTTCAGAAGCTGGTATACATCGCCCACATGTTGCTGGCATCCACGGACGTGAACATGAAGGTGCATACAGCATAGTGCTATCTGGTGGCTACGAGGATGATGAAGATAATGGGGACTCCTTCACATACACTGGCTCAGGGGGTAGGGACCTCTCTGGCAACAAGAGAACAGCTGAACAGTCATGTGACCAGCAACTGACTAGGATGAACAGGTAAATTGGGTTCTTATTAAAAGTTTAGATTTAATTTCTCAGAAAAATGCATGGCAGGTTCACTTTTGATGGTCATAGCTTTTACAATTTTACGGTCACGTCTCAGAGACTTACAAAAACAACACTACTTCTAATTGGTCAGTTTGGTATGTTCAATTATATTATCTTTTTACATGTTGTAGTTTTGTATTTCTTTATTTTTATTCCAGAGCTCTTGCATTAAACTGCAATACTCCAGTAAATAAGAATGGAGCAGAAGCTACAGACTGGAAGGGGGGCAAACCTGTGCGTGTGGTCAGAAATGCCAAGGGCCGAAAACATTCAAAATATGCACCAGAGGAAGGGAACAGGTAAGATATGCAGTGATGTGGGTAGCCACTGTTTGAGTTTAAATGTGAGTAGTGCTTTAGGTCATGAAAATTTTATCCATTAGATTATTTACATCTTGGACTCATTGCATAACCAAAAAAATTAGATCTTGGTACAGTATAGTATTCTTTAAGGTTAATTACCATATACAAGTCCTAAATTTAATGACTTGCAAGATTATGTTGAAATGTGATAATTTAAACATTTTAAGTTTTCCTAATTTTGCAGAATAGGTGTCTCTATTCTTCAGCCCCATATGTGAGCACTGCATACAGATGCACTTAATGCTTATTCATAACTAGTTTTGTCATACTTGGGGAAAGCAGTTGTAACTGATGGAAATTAAGAATGAACCTTTTTTCTTTCCTCTTAGGTATGATGGCATTTACAAAATAGTTAAGTATTGGCAAGACACTGGCAAGAGTGGCTTCAAAGTGTGGAGGTACCTATTACGTCGTGATGACCCCATGCCTGCTCCATGGACAAAGGAAGGCACAAAGAGAATACATGAACTAGAATTAGAAATGCAGGTTAGTTGCTTTCTTTTTAATTATGTTCTCTAGTCATTGTTTAATTTATTCACTTTGTTCTGACTTGGCTCAACTCTATAAAAGATGTACAGTTCTTCCTTACATCAATCCATCTCTCATTCTTGGTGTGGCACAGCTAGGGGTCCTAAGACAAACTCTCCTTATTATTCCTTTCTCCCTCCCTCAAAAGAGAGCTGATTAATTTGAGTTTGCAACGTTGTGCCCTTTGTTCGGATGAAACATTGTGAGTTAGATTTACTTAAGTTTCAGATTTTGAACCTTGTAGCTCATTGGTGTTCTCAACACTTACATATTTAATACTGTATTAATTTCACTGAGATTGACATAAGTCGACATTTTGCTAAATCACAAAAATAACATTAAAATTACATTTTGAGACTCCCATAAATAAGATACAGTGCTTTAAATTAATACCAGATAAAGGGATAAAAAATCTTTCCAATGATAAACCAGGAAAATGTATGACAATGATAATTATGACTAAGCTGTAGATTTGAGTGAAAATCAATAACAGTATTGATTTACAGGCTTATAAGACGCTATACTACAGGAAGTGTTTCTACATTACAGTACCCTGATGGTTACCTAGAAGCACAGAAGGAGAAAGAAGAAAAAGCCAATAAGGAAGACAGTGGGTCAGATGATGAAGGTGATGGTAAAAAAAAGAAAAATAAAACCAACAAGAGGAAAAATAGCCTTGATTTACACACACAGGTAAATATGACCGCCTTTTTCTACACACAAACAGTGATAATGTTGAAGCAAACTGGAAATGAAATATTCTACATACGGTAATACATTTTTTTGGTTTACATATAAATATTTAGGAAGTGTAATTATCTTTGAACTAGGTGAAAGGTACAGTATATTGAACACAGGGTATGAAGTAACCAAAGACACACATCCTATAGTACTGAGATAATCTAATAATTGCAGGAAAATGGCCATTCTGAATCCAAGAAAAGGAAAAGTACTGGTTATGTTCTTGAAAGGGATATTAAACTCTTGATAGGAGAGGATAAAGGGAACACAAAACTCTGGGAAGAATGTAAACCCCTGCTAGAAAAAGGACGATCTGTAAGTAACTGGCCATACTTTTATTTTTTCCTTTAATATACAATGTCTGTCAAATACGTCCATCCAAGTTTCAGGTTGCAATATTTTGTGTAATATATATATATATATAAATAATTCTTTAACACTAAAACTCACCTTTAATCCATACAGCAATTCCTGAGTGGTGTAGAAGGGAGGTTCTTGTGTGTTTGCTGTCAGGAGCTGGTGATAAAGCCAGTCACCACAATGTGTAACCACAATGTATGCCAGACTTGCTTACAACGTTCCTTTAAGGCTGAAGTGTTCACCTGTCCAGCCTGTAGGTATGACTTGGGGAAAGGTTACAAGATGGACATAAATAAGTCCCTGAGTAATTGCCTTATAAAACTTTTCCCAGGGTACGATGTAGCACGCTAAGGCCCCTTCCAGCCCCTAGGTTTAGTGAAGTAATAATGGTGTGATCCTACAGATGTTTATCCCCTCTGTAGTGACTGATTGTCCCACCCATGACAAATGTTCATTATTTGGTAACTGAAAATTTAAAGTTAAATATCTTCATTGCTTTGTACACATACTCTCTCTCTTCAGTTTAGTACCAAAAGCTGTTTAGTTATGCAAAATAAGGATGTACCATTCTCTATATGCAATCATTATTGATTCACGGAATTTATATTTTTAGAAAATTTGAAGATTTTTTATTTATTTTTTATTTTTCCCAGGTTATATGAGTTGTGTTATAGTTGTTGAAAGCCTTATTTTTTATTTTTAACTCCAATGAGCTATGTAATGAAACTTACACCTAAGTTTTTCACTTTAATCACACTAGTTTAGCTTTATGTACCTCTAAGCCTGTATATCCCGTGTTTATCTGCATCTTTGATCTTACTCGACACGATAGCCAGCTTGTTGGTGGCTTTACGATATACATGTTCAGAGCTGTTGTAGATATAGGTTAGCTGCTCCATAACAATGTGCTGTAATTGATTAGCTAATCATTGAAAGCTTAGAACATTATCTTTACCTTTTCCTCTTTTTAAAAGATTCGTTTATGTTATTTCCACATTTAAAAATAACACTGGTCAGGTACACAGTTAGGGGAAAGCATATACAGTTTGAAATTTAGCCTTTTGATATTGTCATAAAGGCCAGTGCAGGGGTAATTGGCACTGTAGATGAACCAAGACAAAGACACACACACACATCATAGTTTTATGGCCATTTTTCTAACTTGCAAGGGTTAGCTGTGATTACCTGATGGCAGCTGTTGAGTAAAACCAAAATGGCATATCTACCCCATCCACTCACCAACACAAACTCAGGGCACCAGCCTAGAAAATATTGCAGAGACCAGGGGATGGGCACAAAAGAGGGTCGTATCTGTGAGGTAATCAAAGACTACCCACCTACCCAACACTTCTAATATAATGGGATTAAACATTGAATGTACTGCATATTTTAACGAATTAAATTGTTTTAAGTAGTCAAGAATATTAATTTTACTTGGTTCACAATGCAGTACCGTAAATATAATAAAAAAAGATAGATACATATACCTCGCAAACAAATAGAGCATTTTCCCACAAATTCCTACTTACTCTGAAATAACTTTACATTCCCAACCCCTCTATAGTCTTACATCCCCAGGTGGCCATACCCCTAAACAACCTTTCAACACAAGTGTCATAAACACCACAAGGCACACACTCCAAACCAAACATTACCATACACATTCTCCCTCCCCACACATACACACACTTGCTCCCCCTATACATATCCTTGCACTCTTCCCTTGAGGTGCATAAGGGCCCTATGCTCTCCTGCAATATAACAACTATCATTCCCCAAAACCCATATGCATTCCACCTTTATACATTCACAGACTTCAATAACACTCCAATAACTTTTACGCACCTGAATCCTGGGTTCCTTACACACATTCCTACACCGGGTCATGCCTAAGATCATCTAGTGGGAGCACCGACCCTGACTGTCTTGTGCAGAAGCTTTTATGACACTTAAAGGAAGTCTCATAGAACACTAGCTGCAAGACTGAAAATGTATGCCAAAGATTTTATATATATATTGGACTAGATAAAATAAATGAAAAACTTGCTATTATCCGAGGTAAAAGCAAATGTACTAGAACAGCAAGGTGACCGTGATAAAATAGGAGTAGTAAGTGTCAGGAGAAGGGAGCAAGACCCCTCCCCCCCTATTTTTTAAGTGCAGTAGATGTAAGAATAGTGCCACAATTAGTTAGTAACACATCATAAAACTATAAATATAAAATACAGTAGTTTTAGGCTGTAGGAAAAATTATGGAAATGTTGATGAGGTCCATATAGATTTTTGTTTAAGAAGGAATGAGATATCTCAAACTTGCTGATTTTCTCTTCTGGTAGTACAGTACTGTACAGTAGTATTACCAATGTGCTTGAGACCAGTAAGTCTATTGACAAACAAAACCGCAGTTGTACTTCATTTACACTAACATTTATCCCTTATTTGAACTAATGTAATCAATGAAAATCCAATTTTAGATTCATCACAATTGCCAAGAAGAAATTGTTTTCTAGGGTAATGGATACGTGTTGTGGAAATTAGGCCCAACTTTAAAGAAATTTTTTTAGTTAAGTTTTAATGTCAATTTCCATCTTTTAGTTTGGGTGTCATTTCTGCAGTTATTACTCATGTTATGAGCGATATTTCTAATAACTGTGCTGTAAAGTTTCACATTACAAAGGAGAATTTCAGTGATCCCATTGGCGAGTGTTATGAATATATTTTTAATGTAATTAAAAATATAAATACTGCATTTGATGTCATGCCTCTATGCATGCCATCTTAAACACTCATACACTTACAAGGGTTTCAAATAGTTGGACCTCTCAAGTTCAGAGTGGAGAAAATCCACTTAATTTTGTCAATGCTTTTACACCTTGTTCTTAATCTAAGTGTAACATGTAATCAATGGTGAGGGATTTTTACCAAGACTCAACCCAAGTTTAGTTGAGTTTGATTTGGATGTGATACTCTGCCAACCCCCAACCCCCATCCTGAGATAAGGCCTGTTTTTTGTTTGTGTTTGGAAATGTTAAATGTCTATATTTGTTCATTATTGTATTATCATAGAAATAAAAGTTATTTCCAATGTGCTTTTCTGTTTTCTATTCAAATACAGTGTATTCAATATTTTATAATGCAGCAAATAGAAAACAAATTATTGAATTGTAATTTGACTTTTATATCAGTGTAACTGAACCCATGAACACATAGTGGAATAACTTAGTAAACACTGGGTATCAGTGTCCATGACAATTTTTGTGCATTCCTTCTCTCCTATTTACCATATGAAGTAATTGGTGTACCACAGTTTGGGTGCTGCCATAATTATTGTTAGCTATAGAGGCACTACTGTCTGCTGTGTATTATGTTGCATAAAGTTTATTGGTATACAATGGAAATGTTGATTCCAGCAGTATTGATTCAGCAATATTTTTAATGTTTTATTTATTAAATTTGTTTGGCAAATAGCTTGGGTGCATTAAGTTTGTTATACTCATAGCTTTTCTTTTGCTAATCTTAGGAGAAATATTAAGGTATGAAGGCACGCCTAATGTTAAGAGAAATATAGTCTATCATCACTGGAAAACCATACTATGGTTGAGCACTGTTTACAATACTGTAATGGTATGCCTCAATTAATCATACTATCTCTTATGATACAGTATTTGGATTAAAAAAAATATGCATATTTTGTTATCTGAATCAAACTACCGTACATTCTAAACAGCAACCAAATCAAATTAAACAAACCCAAAGAACAAGAACCTGAATTCAGGTAATACTGGGGCAAATTATTTAAAATAAGTCGTGAAGAAAATCTGAACTTCTGTATAAACACAGAGCGACAATAACAAGAACAGGCATAGCATAACACAACGCAAAATGCTTGCCCAATCACAACTCGCAAAACTACGAAGATTCAGCAAAATGGACACCAACATTCATCTACACCTATTCAAAGCACTTGTCTGTCCCCACCTGAAGTACCCACCAATACCACTCAGTAGAACCAGTCAACTTAAACTTCAATCAGTACAAAACAAAGCTATCCGTAGAGTATCAAAGCAACTCCCTCCATACACCACCAAAATACAAGAACTTCATGAACTATACAATATCGAACCACTGAACACAGCCAAGCTCAGAGTTTGGAGTAAACTTGATGAGTTGGAGGACCAAGAACCTCCATGCTAACATAGAAGAACAAGACCCACTTTATACATATATGTGAACAAATAACACCATTTAAAAAACAAATTAACACACGTCTAGCTAGCTTTACCCCCGCCCTTTTGAGTGGTCAGGCGCTTACTGTGTACGGCCACCACCCCAACAAATCACCTCAACTCAACTATGGTGGACAGACCACTTGCCATCATTACCTATTAACTTTACTTCCCATTTCTATTCTTTCCTTCTCTCTCTCCTCCCCTCTCCCATGGCAAAGTCATTTGCCACTTTTACTTCATTATCATCATCATTAGACTTTAAATTATATTTTGGGAGGAGGGGAGGAATACATGTATAGGTATGAATTCTCGTACAATGAATAGAACATATACCGTAGGAAAAACAGGGTTCGGTATCCCAATGTCAAGAAAACCCTAGTATCCTACCCCAAAAACATGAAATCAGTTTGCAAAAAAAAAAAAAATTATATATATATATATATATATAGAGTATATACAATACTGTTATTTACTACCAAACACTAATAAAATATCTGTACTATCTAGTTCAAAATATACAGTTAAAACTAGTAAGGAAAAGCTAAATGAAAGTAAAACAGCTGGCATTTGCATCAAAGCTGGCTATGTGGCTTCAAGTTTCACCATAGCAACGCAGCCTTTGCCAACCCTTAGCAACGTTCCTCTTTCATTCTCACGCACAAAGAAATGTTTATATCTATTGTTTTTGACCTGATGATAATTTCTTTTCTTTTTTAAATTCTGTATGTAGTAAGATTGTGTGCATGTAACCGAGTAAATAAAGTGAGGACAGTGAAGTTTATCAAGCCGAAGTTACAAGTTGGGGAAAAAAAATATCAGGCTTTCTGGCAACATTAGCATTAGATAATGTATTGCTGTAATTGACAGATGCATGTCTAACACTCAATTAAATCCATACAAATTTTCCATCACTCAGACTTGTTCTGATCACTTCAGCCACCTTCAACTGCATGCTTGCTTCAACCCCTTGGCTTCAGGGTACAGTACTGTTGGAATTGCCATGAAAGCCTGGTTGGATTTTGTGATGTAGGGATCTCGCCCTTGGACCACACCTGTTTCTATCCTCCAACCCCCAAGCACAAGTATTGTGTAGTAGTGGACTCTTGGTTATCAGCAGATTCATGATCAATTACTCGAGGCAGTAAAAATACAGTAATTGTAAATAGTAATGAGTACAAAGTGTCCTACACCTCATACTGCCTACAAATCAATGTTGTTTACCTTGTACTGTACTGCCAACCTCACCTCACTGCCTCTCACACCACTTCATGTGCATTGTCGACTCCTCCATGCCTCTGTGATGCCAACCTGCGGTAAGGATATGTATTCCTTTACTGTTTATATCATGCATGACCAGTTAAAAAGATTAGATTTGTTTTTTATAATAAAATTTCCAAATACATGAGTGTGTGAGTGCAGGGGGCCGTTGGTTCATATGACTACCATAGCCCGGTGTCAGGGAGTTAAATAAAACTATCAAGGAGTTCCAGCAGCAGTCCTGAGAACATATCTAAAGAAAAGCATTTGCTCATACTTTTCAATATTTATAAGCTCATCTCATGCAACGCATCGTATGTTATAAAAGCAAAACGGAAAAAATATTATAATTCAATATAAGAGCCTTATAAAACTTATATGGAGGTCACAAATCATGTTACATGAACTTATTTTGCAGGGGAAAAAAATGTATAACCCCCACACACTGTACAGTACTGTATATGAAGCATAATTCACCAATTTCAGACGAGAGTTTAGGTCTAACCTTTACGAACCATATTAAAGGCTAAGTAAATTTTGTTGTTCTTTTAAACTATGCAGATACAGTATTCAGTATTCTATCTACACTTTGGTTACAATAAAAAAAAAATCCCAAATGTGTATTGTGAAAAGCTCACTTTCATTACTGAATGTACAAGTGTCTGACACACTTACAAGCCACAATACAGTATGCCATCGCCATACATTAACACACTATTTAACCCAAACTCTTTGCTTCTTTACTCATAACTCCATCACAAACTATACATCCTTTCTTGAACTTTACATTTACAAATCTCCAAAATCAATGTCTTGTCGTTGTTCTCACCATTATTCAAATTCTTTTTAACTTTTGCTATTAATTTGAGTGAAAGTGAGAGGTTTCACATATATCAAGCAAAAAGTAATCATAGCCTTCAATCGTGAACATAAAAATTAAAGGTCACTCAGTTAAGTACTTTATGGGGCCTATCAACCTGGAGGAATGAGCGCAAGCGTAATGACTTTCAGGTTTGGAAGTTTTGTATTTGTCATGTGCAGTACAAAAAATGGCTCTTCCTACATGTTGATCATTAGTGTTCTATCTTTTATCATTTTTAATTGATGGACTAGTGTACGGTAATTACTAATCTTGCTGTGCACAGAAGACCTTAGCTGTAAGCAGTTATAACATAGTCAACAGCATAACAATTGGCACAACATCCCCTTCCACACAATTACATCTTTGGTGAATAATGAAGACATTGCCAGCATTCTAGCCTTTACTTAAAGTTTACGTGGTTTACCAATACAATATAGATGGTCACTAAAGACTTTACATCCCCTTTTGAAATGCTTCAACCCAACAAGCAGCAAATACCCATATTGCTACCCTTTATTTACTTCAAGCTCCAAGAAACATTCACCTCCAAAGTTGGACACTTATGAGTGACAAAATGAAATATTAATAACTTACGATATTCCCTAGAGGGATTATGAAAATACAGTACTTTCTACTCTTATAATACAGTACATTAAAACAAACTGAGAAATGAATCCTTTTCCATTGAACCTTACTACCATGCTTAAATCATAGCACTGCTGCAAATGCCACATTAAAAGTTGATGCACAGTATACACATCAGAGCATGGTATTAAGTGTCTTCACCGATAAAGAGAATTTTTAGGCCCCAAACAAGTCATACTTATACAATATCTGGAGACTGGATGATTAGATGTTGGCTGAACATACCATAATTACTGTACTGTACAACATTCTTTAATTCATGAATTTTTTGAAAATTTATGTCAAGTACTAAATGCATGTGCTGTATTGTCTATCTGCCGACTGGATAGATATGTTAACCCAATTTGTATTACAGGCTAAATACAGTTTTACGTCTATAAAATTTGGGAGTTAAGGGGGTCTAGGTCATTTGTACTAATACTATTAATATCGGTTTACACTTCAGTCAAGTTACTGTTCTTATCTCCACTCTGAGCAGATAACAGACGAGACAATGGTTTACCAGTGTCCTCATCTTGTAATTTGGCACTTGGATATCAACTAAACTTGTGCCACAGATGAAACATATTGCACAAGATCTACACCCTCAAGTTTGGAATCTGATGTGAAAGGTATATTAGAAAACTAATAAATACTGTACAGTATAAGTGTAAATCTGAAGACAAGGTGAATGCAAAGTGACCAATCTTTAACCCTAGACATTACATACATAACTCTACACTGGTTAGTTTCTGGAGAGCAGGGCATTACAGATCACATGTTGTGTGTCCTTATATGTTACTAATTGGTTATTTTATTTGCAATCTTTAACATTCAAACTAGATTTTCAGATTTTCGTTTTCACGATTTTAACTGTTTACAGACTTTGACATTCTTCAGCCAACAAGGGCCATTATGTTTCACCAACACGAGTCTTGTAATGTATGGATATTATAATAACAATGACCCGAGCTAACACTGTGATGTGTAAAATATAGACCAGTTGTGTATTCAGCTTCATTATTTATTTAAAGATTTTAACTATCAGATTTATTCATGAGTACTGATGTCCATTGGCTTGAGTACAATTCAAGAACAGCATGGAAAACAGATGGTAGACACTGTATTGGGGTAGCATGGAGAAAGTTGCTGCCAGTAATTGTCTAATTTTATATGCATACTTTGCATATGACCAAACCTGGTAGTTATAATAAATAATGGACGGAAAAAAGTAATGTGGCTATATTATGACAATCATAAAATAAAAAATAAATAAATCATTTCTGAAAGATGTGTCAAGTCACAGTTGTAGGTTTAGTTTTAGCTTTTTTTTTAAACATTTTAATGACAAAAAAGCAAAACAATGGTAACATACTTGTGTGCAACTTTCCCAATAATACCATTCTGTATATTTGTATTTACACCTTACAGTATATGTAACACGATCACAATTAAACTTATTAACAAATGCCTTTGGTAGTGCACTGTACACCTCCCCAAACTTTGTAAATCTCAAAAACTGTATTTCCTTCACTTCTCCATACCCTGATGAGCTATCACATGTTCCAGTTTGTACTATGGTTTTTGTTTAATAAAAGATTGCACAGCTCTAAATGCACATAACCCTAGTACTCAGCTATACTCCAGCTTCACCTAATCTCTCATGGGCACTTTCAGGAACTTTTTTCCAACTAAATGAGAAAAAGGCAGTCGTTTAACCACTTAAAACTTTAAACATATTCCTTTCTTTCAAGTTTAATTAAACAAAACTTGATAATTTCTGTTTTTATTGGTCTATGTGTTAATCAGTATCAAGTACAAAAAGCGTGGCAAGCCTCCGCTAGGGTAGTGACGGCCATAATACAACACACAAAACCAAAGACAGTATGGGCTTCAGACATATGTACACATTATATAACCATCACTACCCCATCAACCACCTTGAAAGTTAATTGATCAATATGTACAACAAAAGCTTTTGGGAGAATTGACACGAAATACTTTATAATGGAAATAATCTTTTGAGCACTACACTCTTCAGAATATCCATTCGGAATATCCACAACAGGAATAACAATAATGAGAAGCTTCAACAGCTTTCGAGACAAAAAATTGAACTGGTCAATTCTTGTACCAAACGTGAATAAAAAGTCCATGAAGAGATCTAGTCATAATGCTCTGCCTTTCCCCAACAGCGTCCTTGTTGGAGAAAGAAAACTTGCCATGTTTAAGAGAATGATGCTTGATGAGATTGGAACAACGGAGAACTCTTACGCATAGGGATCCCTAACCTTTCGAACTCTGCTGTGGCAAGGGTCCCATAATTTACTGGTGCTACTAGACTAGCAAGAGCAAACCTGATTGGAAGCAGGTTTGTTGACTTCAGAAGCAGCACCAGTAGGTGTAACGCTTTCTACCCTAGCCCAAGCTTGGGAAGTCACGTTCATCATCCATTTTGGGTGCCTCTTGGCGGCTTACTCCTCTTCCCCCACGTGAGCCAGGACCACCCCGCCCTCCACGCTCTCCACGTTCACCACGCCCACGATCCATTCCTCCTCCTCCACCACCACCGCTGCTGCTGCTGCCACCACCGCCGCCGCCGCCACCACCACCACTGCCGCTGCCGTCACCACCACCACCGCCCCTGCCGCCACCACCACCGCCACCCCGCCCTCCACGGTCCATGCGGTCACCACCCCGTCCACGTCCAGGACCTCCACGGCCACGACCTCTTCCACGTCCACGCCCGGGTGAATCAGCAAATTGGATATCAATGTCCAGAAGAACTTTCCTGCGACCATGGTGTACTTCCTCTTCTTCCTCCTCTTCCTCTTCATCAGATTCCTCAGCAATCTTCTTCTTAAGAACATAAGTCTTCTTCCATTGTGCCTGATTCTCACCCTCACCAGCTCGGCGTATATTGAAGGCAGGCTTGTTGCGGGCACCTTGCATGGCCTTCCATTCATCTAATGTCATCTCCTTGGCGTTATCTTCCTCCCTGACAGTCTCCTCATTTTCAGCAACAGCACCTGCATCCTCAGGAGGCTGTGGAATTTTTTAGTTGTCGTAAATAAAATAATAAATATATGTAGCTTAATATTGCTTATTATCAACTAACTTCAACATCTAAAACTAAATTCAATAGGTTAAGCTATTTTTCTACAATGTGAGGCTCAAGATATACAAACCTTTTCAACATTTTCTGCCGATGTGTCTAGTTCTACTGTAGTTGTGGGAGCAGCATTCAACTGCTCATCAATTTGGTCCTTGTCTGAGCCCCAGTTAAAGGATCCTGAGCCTTCTCGCTTGTCCACTGATTTCACTCCAGTTGTAGCCATTCCACTCTGCCGATCAAATTCACGTTTGCCTCTGTTGTCTGGACCCCCGGGAAGACCGCCACGACCTCTACCACGTCCACGTCCCATGCCACGTCCACGTCCTCGTCCCATGCCACCCCGTGCTTCACCGTCAAACCTGAAAACAAAAAAAATAATCATACATCAAACTTCTTATTCAATAACCACTGATGACTAAACCATGCATCCACATTACTAATAATACAATAAAAGAAAGCAGACATTCATTGACAGATATGCAGACATCTATACATTCAAACCTAATACTGTAAAAGTCAATTACATTAAGGGCATTGTACTGCTGCGAATGATCCAAAAATTATATTTTCCCCCAAAAATTATCTGAACTCTGAAAACCTCCAGCTACATCACCACCAAGTATGAATGATGTGCAATAACATCACATACCCCCCCCCCCCCAGAAAAAACCCCATACCCTAGTCATTTTTGGCAATTCTCATTTTCTGTTGTATTGAAAGCATTACAAGCAAATAACATTAGGTTTTATTGTATACTGTATAATTAATTTTTTATTGAAACTAAAAAGATTCATCTGGCAACCAAACCCACTTCATGATGCTAATCATGCAGTTTCCTCAGTCTTTTTGGATCACATATTTTTTTTCCTCCTTTGTGTTTGCTACCACCAGTCCTTATTGTGAACTAGAAATTCAAACGATATGGTACCTAAATTAAGGGACACGGTGCTGAAACTTGAATTGCTAGATAATTACTACCTTCTTCCCATTAATTTTTTCTTCAGTACCCTCCTTTGTTATTCTACCATTACTCTGATGGTTACTTCACTGAAGCAATTCAATTCAATTAAACCCATTACCCTTAAAATCAAGGGGGTTTGCATAAGTCATCATTGAACTGCCACAAACGTTTGATATCAATCACTGTCAACATAATATCTTCCTCGCTCATCTTTTATTTTAAAATTTATTTGGCAATAGGTTATGCCCTTTACAAATCCCTTCCCCATAGTTCTTGACAAGTGATCGCGGGCCCTTTGTGCCCGGGGAAAGTTTGAACGCTTGTGCTTGGCTAGCGTACAGCGAATGAGGGTGCGCCAAGTCCGTAGACTTGCATCGTTTTCCAGCGTAAATAAAATGGTTAATTAGTGCCTTCCTAAAGAAACCATCGACATGGGACCAGGTTTGTTCCACTCCATGAATTTTTTGCGATTTTTCCACCAAGTTTGATGAAAAACGATTGTGCCATTTCGGATGCCCAGAACAGACAGACACACACACGGCTATTCCTATAGTATATTAGATAAGTTAAGCATCAACATTTCCTACCTTCAAAAAATTAATTTTCTACACTAGCTGATGTTGCTTATCCAAGTATCTAGAAACAAGAGGCTGAGCCACCTGTCAAAATTTGGCTTTAAAGTAGCAGAAATGAAACAAATGGTTCCAGAAAAATAAAATGTTACAATATAATATTTTTAACACAGTCAGCTGTAGATAAGGCTAAAGTATAACAGAAAACACAAATGATGCCAGGATAGCACACAATATAGTTTAACAGAATTAATTGGAAACAATGGTCCTGTAAATTCATATGCACTGTTGCACATTAATGCCCAAGAAAGTGTTAAGGATTCAAATGCATATCTAAATACAGTAAAATAAACTAATTTCTTCTTCAGCACGGCATTATAAACTAAATAACTTAGGGTGGGCCAAATTACCCCGCCTACAGCATCTTATAATTAGAGATATATAAAAGTAAAAACAGGAAATAAAGGTCTTGTATGGGTGACCTTAAACTAAGTGAGTGGAGGCATTGCTTACACAAGACATTTGACAACATCATCCCAGGTCCCCATAAGCATATTTTGGCCAAGAAGAGTTGTGGAATATACCGGACCACTTAAATAATTCTTGGTCAATGTTACACGGATGTATATTACACAGACATGGGAAATTCTTTTGCGCAAACAGAAGCTTATTCTGCACCAAAAGGGGTTAAAAGTTACTTGGAAGTGTATGACTGATGAATATACCTGAATTCTCTAACAAGAATTTATGAAGTACTAGACTAAACATGCACTGACGAAATATTAAATTTTATATTAATTATTCAACAAGCTACTCTTTTATCACACTGTACACACTAACACCATTCAAATGGATACTGATAAAAGTTTTGAGTTTGGTTTCTGCATCTTGAACAGTATTGTAACCTTACCTAGGAGGAGGTCCATCTCTGAATTCACCCTCAGGTCGGTTGCGTCTGTTATTTCTCTCTTCACGGTCAGAAAACTTAACACGTCCATCGTTAGTGCGGGGTCCTCTTTGTTGGGTTGCTGAAAACAAAGAAAAAACACGGAGAAAATTTTAAAACATTGCATTTTTATTAAACGAGCAATCACTCATGAACCAACTTCCGAGTTTCATGAAAGTTCCCAAGAATGTTATATCCAGTACTGTAGTTATAAAGAGTTTGTGTATTAAATAAGAAACAAAATGACAAATCTCTGGGTAATCTTATTTATAAAAGTGAATAAATCCTGCTTATATTCCAGGATTAGCTAATTAACCCTTTAAGCAGTTAAGTTCCAAATATCCCCAGATGTCCAAAATAATACAAGTTTTGGAATTACATCCTCACCAACATACTTTTGACTAATGCAAAAGAACCTCCATAATACATAATAACAATGTAAAAGTACCTCTAATAATAATAATAGTACAATTTAAAAACCTTACACAGCTTTTTCTTGTATATAAGCCTATCGCATGTTCACTTGGTAAAAAGAAAAAAAGAAAAAGAAAAAGTATCTTTACAATTTTTGTGCGAAACAAAATGACACATGTAATGAAGGTAGGAAATGTCTCGCAATCATACCTACCAACCCCAGCGACACAAGAGGGTTGCTCACTTCCAAATTCATCAGACCTCTTCTGAAAGATATTTTTTACCGAGTGTACACATGATCAGAAGAGTATTGATGCACATTGGGTTCGATGATTTCCTAAATGACCAATTCACCAATGCCACAACCTAACCACGCTACACCTTCGCGAGATTAATCTATTTTCTTCGGAATGTGCATATAACAATACTCAAGGTACTATGGATAAAACAGGATATGTTGCTAGCAATTGATACTATACGGTATTTTGCAATATCTAACATCTGTGGTTTCAGATTGTTTCGTGCCAAATATGCAGATACAGGTACTTTTTGTGATCAAGTGTACAGTATAATCCAACTCCCGATTTTGTGGCAAAAAGGCATTTTTTTTTCATATATTTAATATATAATCTAACCCCAGCCTTTGAGAAATAGAAGGTATAATTCTAGACATACAGTATTTTGTTAAAAAGATTCTCACCAAAGCATCTTCACCTTGATCACCACAACTGCCAACACTATGAAAAGTTTTACCAATTCTTAAAACTAAATTCCCACGAGTTACCAAACTCATTTTTATAAATTCAACTTCATTCACCCCTAAAAGTAGCATTAACTGTACTGTAACATCAAAACTTTTTACTTTACTAAAGTGTGTACACACTGCATCGCAGTCTCAGGAATGCTGGCCGCCTGGCCTCAACGCTCACCTTAGCAATGCAACCCAGCTGCCTCTACCTACCCCTAGTAATGGTGCTCCCCCTCTCCTGCTCTAGGTATTAACTCAAGCAAATAAAGGTTTATTCAGTAAGTTTTTGAACTTTTCAAAATATATATAATATATAATATATATATATATATATATATATATATATATATATATATATATATATATATATATATATATATATATATATATATATATATATATATATATATATATATATATATATATATATATATATATATATATATATATATATATATATATAATGTTACAATGACACTCGGTTAACGAACTCAATCCGTTCCAGAAGGTCGTTAGGTTAACCGAAAAGTTCATTAACGAGCCATTGTTTCAATGGGTTTTGAGTAGTGGTTCCAGCTCACCGAAAATTTCCTAAATTCAACAAAAATGGTAGAAAAGTTCACTTACTTTGAGGTGTGTATGTACAAGGCTCCTGGATGATGATGATGATGATGATGGGAATTACAATGGGGGTGGAGGAGAAGGAAGAAGAGAAGGCATTGGGGTGGAAGAGAAGTCACCCCATGGCACCATTTCACCCATAAAATTTTAGTTCTCTTGGTGTATTTCAAGATTATTTTCTTTAAATCAACACTGTACTGCATTATATATTGTCAATATGTAAAATATATTTCAAAATGACCAATAATTTGCTTGGAAACACAGAAAAAAGCGTTTAGTTAAAGAGTCTCAAGCAAGATGTTACCTCCAGTGAAAACAGAGAGACTAACGCCTGTTTGCTGTGTTAAGAGGCTGGATGCTGCGCTTTAAACTAGTCACTTTACCTTCAATTATGTTCAATAATTGTTAAAATGACTAAAAAATTGAATATTAAACTTAAAATTATTGAATAGTATAAACTTCTTGATATTTACTAAAATAGTTAGGAATTTAAGCCCTAGAACCGATTAATGTATTGGCGGACTGATACTTAAGCTGGTTGCCCAGCCAGTGCAAGCGAAAACATGTTGAGGTCGGTTCGTAAGAAATTCGTTAACCGAATTTTTGTTCGTTAACCGAATTGAAGATCCTTATGGAAGGCAGTTCGTTAACCCGGCGTTAGTTAGCGAGGGTCACTGTATATATATATATGTATATATATATATATTTTCTAACAACAACAACAACTTCTTCTATATATATATATGTATATATATATATATATACTATATATATATATATATATATATATAAATATATATGTAACATGTATATATATGTATAACAACAACCTTAATAGCAACATATATGTATATATATATATATATATACCATATATATATATATATATGAAATATGTATATATATATATATATATATATATATATACTACTTCCTCATATATATGTATATATGTTTTCCAAACCAGTGTTTACCTGGCTGCGCCTAAATCTAAATTTGTCTAATTTAAAACCATTGTTACGAGTTCGCTCCTGGTTGGATAGTTTGAGTACCTTTGTAATGTCCCCTTTGTTTAGCCCTGCCTTCCACTTATACACCTCTATCAGGTCGCCCCTCGCTCTACGTCTCTCAAGGGAGTGCAAATTAAGATGCTTTAACCTGTCTCTATACTCAAGGTTCCTAATGCCCGGGATTAGTCTTGTCATTCTCCTCTGAATTCTTTCCAAGGATTCTATGTCCATTCTGTAATACGGTGACCAGAACTGAACTGCGTAATCCAGGTGTGGTCTCACAAGAGCAAGATACAGTTTTAGGATGACCTCGCTAGTCTTGTAACTAACACTCCTTTGTATGAACCCAAGTACTTTATTAGCCTTGTTACGAGCAAAAACACATTGTTTACTTGGCTTAAGGTTCCTACTTATCATTACTCCTAAATCTCTCTTGCAGTCGGATTTCTCTATGGCATCGTTGTTCATCTGGTATCTGGTTTCCCTGTTTACATCTCCTATACACACACACACACACACATATATACATACATACATACATATATATACAGTGATCCCTCGGTTAACGATTTACCTTCCATAAGATTCTTAACTTCGGTTAACGAGCAATCCCTCGATTAACTAGTTTTTTACGAGCCGACTTCAACATGTTTTCGCTTGCATTTGGCGGTCCACCAGCTGTAGTATTAGTCCGCCAATACAGTAATCGGTTTTAGGGCTTAAATTCCTTACTATTTTAGTAAATATCAATAAGTTTATACTATTCAAAAATTTTAAAAGTTTAATATTAACTTTTTTAGTCATTTTAACAATTATTGAACATAATTGAAGGTAAAGAAACTAGTTTCTGGCGTGTCATCCAGCCTGTTAACACACCAGACAGGCGTTAGTCTCTCTCTGTTTTCAGTGGAGGTAACATCTTGCTTGAGACTCTCTTCAACTAAACGCTCTTTTTCTGTGTTTCCAAGCAAATTATTGGTCATTTTGAAATTTATTTTACATATTGACAATATATAATGCAGTGCAGTGTTGATTTAAAGAAAATAATCTTGAATTACACCAAGAGAACTAAAATTTTATGGATGAAATGGTGCCATGGGGTGACTTCTCTTCCAACCCAATGCCTTCTCTTCTCCCTTCTCCTCCACCCCCATTCTAATTCCCATCATCATCATCATCATCCAGGAGCCTTGTACATACACACCCCAAAGTAAGTGTACTTTTCTACCTTTTTTGTTGAATTTAGGCAATTTTCGGTGAGCTGGAACCAATTACACAAAAACCCATTGAAACAATGGTTTCGGTTAACGAGCAACCTGCTGGAACAGATTGTGCTCATTAACCGAGGGACCACTGTATACACACACACACACACACACATACATACATACATACATACATACACACAGCCACTTACGACCACCCCAGTCATATCCAAAAATTTTCAAATAATGTATTTTCGAGTCCCAATGTTAGTGATTGCGCTGTGTACTGACAAAATTTTCGTATGTAATTTGTTTAAATGGCTGGCAAGCTTAAAAGTGAGAGTTTTGTGGTGCTGAGAAGAAAAAGAGACACCCATTTTAGATTTTCTATGTATTATTTTTGCATTTTTGACTTACGACCTGGATTTGCGTCCCTAAGCCCCATTGTAAGTCAAGGAGTGGAGAAATATATATATATATATATATATATATATATATATATATATATATATATATATATATATATATATATATATATTATATATATATATATATATATATATATATATACCACATTTGTTATGTGAGATTGTGCACACAAAAGTTTAAAATTTCTCAGTGGCCAAAAAAATTTAAATCTTCATTTGTATAAGGTGTTTGTATATTTAAAGCTGCATAATATACTATATACTGTTGTAAATATGCTGTATCTAGGGGTACAGAAGACAAGCCCAAAATCACGAGGTAAATTTTGGCATATGGCCAACTTTACAGAATTCATGCAAATCTGCAAAAATTTACCCCCCCCCCCAAGTTGTATAATGTTGGGTGACAATATACAGCACCACACCTACGGTTTACCCAATGTAAATATTACAGGTGTCTTTTGTGAATTTTCCAAGACTACAAACTAATGAAATGAAGAGTATAGGCCTACGGATCAGCCAGACAACTATCTTCCTGTATTTCTCTACACTCAACATAGTCTAAATATTCTCAATCACTGTAGTGTAAATCTTATTATTTTGTGTACTTGGCAGCCAGTTACATTTCTCTTATCATCCCATGTCTATCAATACATTGA